AGAAGCATAGCACATGTTCATCCACGCATCTCCTGCATGTAAAACACATTTACTATGCACAGAATATAGAATTTGTTATTCTATGAAATATATATATATTATCAACACAACATTTCACCGGGTCTTTATTTTTTCACGAGCTTTGTGGATGTTTTGGCAAAATTGAGTGCTTTTTTTCGCGTGGGAGGAGACGGGACAGCGCCCAAGAGAAACCCACGCCAATATATCACTGCAGTTGCGAGTAGACATTGCTTGCTATGTATGGCTCTTTCCGTCTTTAATACCTTACATCTGAGGTTGAAAGCGTTTACACGTTAGCCCTCTCTGTCTGTCTGTCCGTCGGTAATGTGAGGGGGGGGGGGGGGGGACAACTCACACGAAGATGATCGAATCTGAAGTAAACTTTAGCACGGAGAACGTTTTATAGGAATTTGCCACTTGGCACCTCCTGAATATCGGCCGGGTTGATCATCGGGTTGATCATCGGGTTGCCCGAAACGCGCAGACTTCACCGGCGTTGAAAGGACGATCGGCTAACATGTCAGCCGTGTTGAGCCCTAACAGAGTCCCATTAACATAATGGGACATTTTTGCCAGTATCAAAGTATGAAAAAATAAGAATAGGTTTTACCGTTTCTGGCAATTAAACAGGAGGTGTTAAGATGTTCAAACACCAAATAGACTACTTCAGCATTTTCTTGCTGTGGTTGTTCCACCTGATGAAGATTGCTTGTGTTGCGATCGAAACGTAGTGATTTATTTTATTTCCACCTCCATGACTTTACCGAAAGAATCAAGAAGAGTATGGATTCCTGAAGTCACGAAAGCTTCAAATCAAGACCAAATCGAAACTTTTTGCAAGGAATCAAGTCTGCATTAACCACACGGTACTTGTGGTGAACATGCAGACAAACATGCTGTGACAATATACAAGCTGATTGGCCTATACCAGAGACGGCCTTTTATATAGGGCCTCATCTCACCAGTGTCAGCCCAGAGAACGCCAATAGGCCGACAGTGCAGTTCTTTGCAAGAGGTTTCTTTTTAGTGTTTGAACATCTTAGCATGTTTTATTGCACAAAAAGGGTAAAAACCTATTCTTATTTTTTCAGATACACATTCGTTTTCCGTGCTACTATAAACCACTGCTGAGGACATGCGTGTACTGGAGCGTGTAACAGTATCCCATGGATATGCATGACAATTATCATATTTGTTTCCGCTCGAAAACGAAACGTAATTTTGGCATTTGGGAAGGAACCAAAAATGCCCGATTTAAACCTTTACACGCGGAGACGCTGCCAGGCCAAGTGCCGCGTCGCTTGCACATTTTTTTTAAATTTCAGCTGCGATTTTAAACGTGGATCACCGTGTGCGATAATAGGCGCGGTGATTTTGTTGAGCATTTTTCGAAAGGTATTTGGTGGACGGTTGAGATCACGGCTCCACGAGTGCCACAGGCCGGCAGTTTTGCCGCTCGGCACAGTTCTGCAGCCCTTGAAGATGCTTCAGCAGGACTCTGAAGGAGGTGAACGAGCTATTGACACAACCGGCGTAAGGACTCGGGCCCAAAAAAACCAATGTGCACACATTGGATGAGCTCTGCGCCAAAGGAGCAGCGTATATCTTTGAGAAGGAAAAAGGCCAAATTCCGTGCGGTAGGACGTGCAGATTTGACAGGTGTATGCATCACGGGCAGGACGATAAACACTGCATCCACACACACATATATTTATCATTCAGCCTATGAGCAATCCACATGGAATTCGCCAGATCCTGACAGATCATTGGAAGTTAAGCAGCAGTGCAGGAAATCCATTGTTGTACTGTACCTCTACGTTGCCCTCTTTCAACCCGCACTGACCAGCATCGCGACGTTACAGTCAAATAACCTGTACGGAATCAGAATCTCCATTTAGCCGGGAGGAATCCGATGCGCTATGAAGCCCTGTTTCACAGACGTCCAGTTCGGACACTCTCGCCGAGCAGGTGATTGACAAGGGAGTTTAACCTGCACGCGCGTCCGTAACAGCGGTGGGTGGTCAAAACATCTTGCAATCTATACGTTAAGTGTGCATGTGCACTGCCTAACAGAATGGCAACCTATGATTGAAATAGTGACAAACGTTGTAAGCCTCCGTCAGTTGTAACATTATATTTGCCCGAAACGTCTTAACGTCTTTGTTCCCAGGAGTGGCAGCGCCAGGTAGAGGAGATGTTGCGCGTGTGTGGTCTTGTTCGGTGGTCTGGAAAAAAACAAGTGAGAAAAGTTGTTTTGCCTGCGTGTGTGCTCATATGTTTGAGTGGACGTATGTGTTTGGGTGTGCATGCCTGTCTGTAGTGGTCAGCGCTACGCTGCGCTACGAACCTGGCGACCCAGGTTCGATTCCCGCTCACGGCCAACACGGGTGACGATTATCTGAACCGGTCCTGGGCCTCCCCTAGGTCGACTCAGGCTGAAATTAGTACCTGGTGCAGTGTGTAAACATCACTACTGGGGAGACAAAGGCGGCCGGGGGTGGTGTTGGCCACCCACCCCCTCGTGTGCCGTGCCGGCCTTTATAGGTGCTCGCTAACAGCACTTGCCCCTACAGTCTTTGAAGGTTACACGGGGGATCTGTCTTTTTTTATGCCTGTTTGTGCGTGCGTATGTGTGCGGATGCACGTGCGTGCACTCGTGCGTGTGCGTTAGTAACGTGTGCATGAGCGTGTGTCCATGTGTCCATGTGAGTATGTCCACATATGCACGCACGTGTGCAGATGTGTCCTTGTGCGTGGGGAGCTGCTGGTGCAGCGGTTAGCGCACCGCGCCACGAACCTGGCGACCCCAGTTAAGATTCCCGCTCACGGCCATCATCATCGGAGCTTCGCCTAGGTCAACCCAGCCTTAACACACGTCAGTATTGTGGAGACAAATATCGGGTCAACGTTGGAACGGGGTCGTTGGCCCAACGTTCGCCCCAAACGTACCACGTTGCACCCGGGCCCTCCTTGCTGGCCTTCTTTTATCGGTGCTGTTTGGCAACAGCACTTGTCCCAACAGCCTTGTGTGAGGCTATACGGGGGGGGGGGGCATCTTTGTCTTTGTGTTTGTGCGCGTTCCCTTCGCTCAGCTCCGTGTTTACAGCGGCCACGGTTGGACAGGGCCCACCCGCTCTGTGTGCGTCAGGACGGCAGCATTCTGCACCTGATTTACGCTCGCCCGACGTTTATTGGCGTTGGGTACCGAGGTGCCGGCTACCGTGGGGGTGTGTGGGCGTGGGTTTTTTTTTCTGGTTTCCATGCGCGCGGGGAGAGAAAATCGAAGCGCATAAGCATCATTGGCATCTGTTTGTTTAGGTCCGGATGACTGTACACGTGTGTGTGTGTGGCCGCACGCACGCCGGGGCCAGGGCGATGTTTTCCACAACTCGGCACCCAGGAGCCTCCTCTTTAGGTCTCGCACACTCGGAATCGTGACTCGCGATTCGCGGGCAGCAAACCCCGGTAGGATAAGTTTCGTAGAAACAACGGCGCGAGACCGGGTGGGTGCGCGTGTGTGTGATGGTGGAACGTTCGAACGCAGTTGTCACAGCCCTATGGGTGGGAAATGCGTACGAACGGCGACGTACGGTGCGAAATAAGTTCAACGCACACACACAAACCACAGCTCGTCAACCGGCGGGTCACATGTGGCGGGGTAAAACTGTGGGTATTCCCACGTCTTTCAGGTTGTCTGCCCAACGTGGAAGAGTAGGCCAAAATACACTCTCAGGGGGGCTCTCGCTCCGCCAGTGATGTTTCGATGGAATGTGGTTTCGGCGCTTGGCCTCTGCCAATGGAACAAGCGGCGTTGTAGCTGCGAGTGATGATGAAGGGGACACGTGGGAGGCCTTCCCGGCGCGCTGCTCAACGTTCTGATTTCCACGTCAGTGTTTAAACCAGCGGCACATTTTTACTCCACAAACTGGTGAACCCCACACTAAAACTATTCAAACTAAACCATAAACTATTTATATATATACATATTTACCAGGTAAGGTCCACTGAGCTACGTAGCTATTTTGTTTCAGAAACGACCTGGTCACAAGTGAAAGCGCAATGAAGTGACTTATCGTGTGGAGATTTACAGCAGCCAAACACTCTAAAGAAGGCTTCTTTCTAAATGTGGAGGGCAAAACAGGAGGGCCCGGAGAAAGATCCAGGCGGCCACAAGGGGAACATCCAAAACTCCAAAGACACAGGTGTCGGGGTCGGGATCGAAGCCACGACCTCCTGTATACCAGGCGAGGTAGTTAACATCTCGCCACCACGCATCCTGAAGGCACCCCCCCCCCCTATCTTCCACACAATTCTCCTTCGTCTGAGCAATTCTCCTGTCGCACACGAAAGTGAATCTCGCTCGCACACACCCCGGATCGCCTCTGGTGAACTCGTTAGGATCCCATGCTCCCCTAACAAGCTCAATGCACGAGCTTCAAGGCTACGTTGCTAAGGAACGAAACATCATTGCTTCACTTAGTGTATGTGTGTATATATACACACAGCCCACTCACCATATGTAATGATGATGATGATGTGTACTAATGTGTACATTTTTACAGTTGTGCTGTATCGTGCCGGGCCGATGCGTTACCGGGGGTCGTACCCCGTGTTGTCCGCTGCACGATGTCCCACATTTCGCGCTGCACGTGCCAGGAGCTTTCAATTAATGTCCTCGGAGAGGCTCCCAGCAAACGCCTGACGAAACGACGGACGCCACGGATTTAACGCCACGGCAAAGATGTGCATTTGCATGCACCCCAGTTCTCGCGTGACGAGAGCTCCGTTGCGATCGGTTCTCTCTCGAAAATTTGCAGATTGCAATGATGAATTATTGGGCGACCGTGCCGAACAATATGGGCCCCCCAACCCAAAATCACTCTCGGAGAGAGCTGCTGGGCGAGAAACAGTGTGAACCAGCAGTCCACATGCATTGAGACCGTGGCTGATTTTTCTTTTGACCCCCTCCCCCTCGGCAGTGCATCCATCGTGACGTGAAGCCTGAAAACATACTCATCACCAGGCAGGGCGTCATCAAGCTGTGTGACTTTGGTTTCGCCAGGATCCTCAGTAAGTGGCCTCCTAATCCCACTCCACTCCCTCCCTCCAACCATCCTCCACCCTCTATTACATGAACACAAACACACACCCCCCCTGCTCACATTTGAAACACCAGGATTAGCATCAGGGCCAACTTGATGTTCACACGAGGCGTTAAGGATTGCCTTTGTCATCGTCACATGACCCCCCCCCCTCATTTTTACGGCTCTACTTCGCCCGTTTATTCTTACGTAAGTTCCATCTCGCGAGTGTGCGGTATGAAAATAGGTTTTTATATTTCGGAGAGAAAAAATCATCCCGATATAGGGTCTTGGCGGAGCAGTGGTTGGCGCGCCACCGGCGCTACAAACCCAACGACCCAAGTTCGAGCCCTGGCAATAGCGAGCGATGTCTGCGCCAGGCCTTCCCTCTTCCCTACACTCCCCGGCCCCCCGCTGCACCCATCTGGTCGACCGCCACGACTGACTCGGCATGGGGAGAGCTTCATCCAGCAGTTGACCGACAAAGGGCTATACATTATTTTTAATTCTTATTTGTAGTAATAACAGAGAGTTTGTCATATTATACTGGCTTTAAAAAATAAACTCTCACAGCAAAGATCATTCCTGAATCAATGCACACATGTGGACAGTGTGCCCTGCAAGACAATAAATGTGACAGCCGTCAGCTAGGACTAGAATGGGGCCAGCTAATGCACACACACACATAGGTGCATTATGCAGGAACCGGGGAGAAAACGTTGTTTTTTTGAGCATATACAGAGGCACACGGTGATATACGGAGATTATAGAGATGATAATTAAGAAGCATAAAGGGCGCAAAGGAAGACGCGTAAATACGCGGATAATGGAAAGCAAGGGGGGAAGAATGGACGAACAGAAAGGAGGTGGGGAACGAAAAGGGGAAAGCAAAGAGAGAGGGGGCTACCGCTGTCATGACTGACAGTCGCGTCGCACCAAAGAATTCCTTTCAGCTGGCCGGGCCTTGAAGAGGTTTCCACTTGTGCTGCGGCCGCCATGGCAACGCGGGCAGGCGGGAGGGCAAGGGGAGCGCCCTCGGCTATGGCCTCCTGACCACACGAGGGTCCGGCACCCCCCCCCCCCACCGCACGCTCGAGCCTGCGTGTGACCACACGGGAGGGCCGTCGCACGAAATCAAACGCATCGCCGTGCCCTTGGCCGATGGGTCCGGACACATGGCAATTGTGTCCCTCGCTGGGCCGCGGGGTGACGACTAGGGCGCCGCGCTGGCTAGCAGATGTTGACTACCTCGCCTGGTATGCAGGGGGTCGCGGGTTCGATCCCGACCCTGACGCCTGCTGCTGCTGTATTTGGAGTTTGCGTCTCTCCCCCCCCGTGGTCGCGTGGATTTTTCTCCGGGTCCTCCGGTTATTTGCCTCCACATTTCGCAACGTGCGTTTTAGAGTATTTGGCTGCGATACATTTCCACGTGATGTCACTTGTGGCCGGCTCGCTTCTGAAAAAAGAACTATATATATCAGTGGGCCTTACCTGGTACACATAAAAAAAATTTCAATGAAGATAGTTTAGTGGTTTAGTTTCGCCTGCTGCTGCCGGCCTACCGATTAGAGCTTGCAGGATGAAATGACTTTCGATCTAGATCGGTATTCGATTAATAGACTCCCACCCCTCTCTTTGTGCCACCGTCATCATCATTGTTGTCATCAGCCTCAATCAATCCACTGTTTTATGAAGACCTCTCCAAGTTGTCAAGATGTTACCACGTCATCGATTCTGCGTTGTAACAATCCATCCGGCACCTGCACACGAGCTGACTTGCATCGGTTCCTCCCTTAAAGCAACCCCTATCACTACCACAAGCACTATCACTACCACAACCCCTATCACTACCACAACCCCTATCACTACCACAACCCCTATCACTACCACAACGCCTATCACTACCCCAACCCCTATCACTACCCCAACCCCTATCACTACCGCAACTCCTATCACTACCACAACCCCTATCACTACCCCAACCCCTATCACTACCCCAACTCCTATCACTACCACAACCCCTATCACTACCACAACCCCTATCACTACCACAACCCCTATCACTACCCCAACCCATATCACTACCCCAAAAACTATCACTACCCCAACCCATATCACTACCCCAACCCATATCACTACCACAACCCCTATCACTACCACAACTCCTATCACTACCCCAACCCATATCACTACCACAACCCCATCACTACAACAACTCCTATAACTACTTACGATACCCGTTGGCTGTCCCGACTAACGCTATCCAGCAACGTTTGTTTAAGCAAACAAGTCCAAAGCTGGTTTCAAACTTGTGGATGTCACCAGTGCAGCGAGGCCTTTAAAAAAAATACACCGCTAGGTTTCCAGATGTTATTGACAAGAGTACTCCCTCAAAACACAAGAGAGCACTATTGTATACACGCTCTACCACCGTTGAGGAGCATTTTGTGCCACGAGCGCTGAGTAACATGGGTTCATGATGTACTTCTCTGCTAACACCGTGGGAGTTCCAAAAGGAGATATTTTAATTCCTTGACATTGCACCAATAAAAACATTCAGAATATAACGGGGAAAATACGACCCCCCCCCCACCGCTCCGCCCCGAGTGGCTTGGAGGGTGAACGTAACTTGTTGGGCACATTTGAGGACTTGGATGGGGAGCGCCAGACAGAAAGAACAGAGGGACATGAAACTCCGCTCCCCTCAGCGTGAGAACGAAGGGCGTGAGCATGAATCGATTTGGCCGCACCTCTCCTTCTGCGCGCATCGAGCTGCTGAGCCCTCAGAATTGGCCGTCGATGATTTGCACGAATGCTACGCCTTACGACCCAAATCACCCAGAATGCAGCCGATCCCGTCCAACCTCGCAAGCCGAGCAGGTCTCAGCCTGCACAGGGCTCGGGCAGGGGTGACCACCGCGCACGCGAGTCAGGCGTCTTGGGAGTTTGTTAGGCCGCAGAGGGCAGTGCGTCCTGCCACGGGCTCAAGTTGATCCTCTGCCGCCGCGTCCGCAGCGAGTCCCGGGGACGAGTACACGGACTACGTGGCCACGCGCTGGTACCGCGCGCCCGAGCTGCTGGTGGGCGACACGCAGTACGGGCCGCCCGTGGACGTGTGGGCCGTGGGCTGCGTCTTCGCTGAGATGCTCACGGGCAACGCGCTGTGGCCCGGCCGCTCCGACCTCGACCAAATCTACCTCATCACGTGCACGCTCGGTACGTGCGCACGCGCACACACGCAAAGCACTCACGCGCACGCGCGGAGATGTCACGCGCACGTGCGGAGATGTCACGTTTACACTGGGAAGTGGTCAGGTGGCTGAGTAGTGCAGCATAAGGGTGGCTCAGTGGTGGTGCATAAGGGTGATGCACCGACCTGAGAGTTCCGATGGACACTTCATCTGCAGTGCCATGACAGCATGAACATAATTGTCGTAATATTATGAAAGGTAAAGAAAACAACACTTAGACTAAATCAATTATTCACTTTGTGACACCATAATCCACAAGCGACGTGAGGCCACAAAAACAATGGTGGAATTCCAGAGCCACCATTTGGTGACGATGTAATTTCCACGAACGACCACCTTCCTGGAAGACACAGCCGGAAGTTGTTACCATTTCAAGAAAGGAAAGTAAACAACATTTTATTTTCCATACAATCGTGACACTAGCACCCAACACGCAACGTTAGGCAAGGGACACGTGATTGAGCTTGCCAGTGTGGGTCAGCCTTGCTAGGAAATCCGTCCCAACTTTATGACAAAACGAGAAGAAAAAAAAGCACACTATGTGTCTGGCCTGGAATCCGTAGATGCCGATAAAAAAACACTCCAAACACACAAATGAATGAGCAAACGAAGGAATGAATGGCCTCGAAAGCAATCCTGAAATTGATGTTGCCGATTGATTCGCTCGCACTCGGCTGTGGGGTTACAAATGGGTAACAGCGGGGGCCACGGGGCTCATTCGTCTCGTGCAGCGGGAGGCGGCTCTCTCCGCCTCCAATTAGGTTCCGGCGCGTTTGACTGAGGCCTGCGGCACGCCCAGCCTTCAGCAGTGTCAACAGCGGCAACTGGGGAAAGGAAAAAAAAATTGCCTCTTTTTTTGCGTCAGCGAGGCCATGCACGCGGCACGCTGGCGACCGAGTGTCAGAGTTGTAGCCAACAGTGGTTTGTGATAACAAGCAATGATAATGCTGCGGAGGGGGGTATCGGGTTGTACCATGAGTTCATATTCTTGGGTCTTTCGGTAAAGTACCGCGAGTTGTCCGGAACAATGTCCGACGTCTTTCTCCGCGTGCGGGAAAGCTTCTTCAGGAAACCAATGTTAGTATGTGTGTTGAACTTTTTTTTGCACCGAACGTAGCCAACCGCGCTAATCGGATGTGCGGGGAAGGACAACAAACTGAACACAAAAAGCAGTTCTAGAGAAATTATTTTTCAATCTAGATTTCCAAGTGCATAGCTCCAGTAGCTTCCTAATATTGGAAGAACGTTCCAGACGGCCGCATAAGCGGATCTGAAAGCGCACGATGCAAGTGACTGTCTTTGTTTGATGGTTTGCCAAAAGCCACTGCGAGGATGACTGAAGTTTGCATGATGGTTTATGCTCCTTGACGAGATGAGCGAGGTTTGCAATACATCAACTGAAGACATTGTGCCGAGCAGCAGGTGGTCCAACCCGAATACACATTGGAGGAGTCGTGGTAATGTAATTTATTTATCCACGAAATTCTCACAAAGTCTCAAGGCCCAAGCCTCCCGTAAACTACGTGACTTCTGTGTGGCCACCGCCACTCTAAACCCCTTCCCCTGCCCCCTGTGAAGACAGACGCCGCTCCGCGCAGCCCCGTTGAGGTGCTGATGCCGCCTCTTCCTCCCCATCCTCATCTCTCCTCACCCTTTGTTCCAGTTTTTCAGTTAATTTTCCATCATTTTCCTCTTATTCTTTCTCTTCTCTTATTCTTTGTCTTCTCTCTTCCCTTTCCTGTTTCTTTTTCTTCATCCTTACATTACATCCTCTATTTCCCTTGTATCCTCTCACCGTGGTGTGCCACAGGTAAAACGTTGCGAGTGTATATAAAAGTGCTGGTCCACGTAGGTGTTCCGCACTCCACAGCGATTCTTGCGGTGTGGTCCGTTAGCGCATGTATCGACCTCATTGCGTTATTACTCTGCATACAACTATATACACCTATAAACAACTAATCATCGCTTAGCCTGCTCATTGTTGCATTTCCTGGCTGTCTCCTCTCACCTACCAGGGGACCTCATTCCCAGGCACCAGCAGGCGTTCGCGTGTAACCAATACTTCAGTGGACTGGGAATCCCCGAGCCCGACGTCATGGTGAGGTCACCCACGCCACCACTCACCCCCTGACTCGGGGTCAATCCTGAAGCCACTTTCACGTCAAATGCATGGCAGAGAGGTCCGCCAATGACACCGGATAGACGGCTGGCACAAGAGCTGTTCGCGAGAGGCATATCAAGCCGGCACGGCACAACAGAGAGAGCGTGGCCAGCACCACTGCTGTCTGACTTTGACTCTTCAGAGATGATGTTTATAGGAGAGGACCGGGGAATGTTCAGAGTTTATATTCAAACTCAAAACAAAGACAAAGTTCCCTAGTGTACTCTATGTAGACCATTGGGTCAAGTGCTGTGAACAAGCGACCATGTGGTCCACAGCGCGCCACACGATGTGGTCGTGTGGTCAGCACCAACGCCTGGCAGCCTTTGTCTTCCCAGAGCTGATGTTTACACACACTGCACCACTGCACCAGCTACTCATGTAGGGCTGGGGCAATCTGCGGAAGGCCCAGGACGTAGTCAGTAATCTAACTGAAATAGTTGGGTCCATAGGACAATGTGCTAACCAATGCGCCACAGCTCCCATACATTCACCAACAACCACCGTTCACTACTAAGTGGCGGTAACGTCACCACGGCGTTTGTGCCACGCACACAAAGACAAAGATCCCCCGTAAAGCTTTAACAGACGATTGGAGTAAGTGCTCTGTTAGCGAGCAACTATAAGGCCAGCACGGCACATGAGGGGGTGGGTGGCCAACACCACGCTCGGCCGCCTTTGTCTCCCCAGTGGCGATGTTTACACACCGCACACCAGGTACTCATTTGCGGCTGAGTCGACCTAGGGGAGGCCCAGGACCGATTTCAGATAATTGTCACTGGTGTTAGCCATGAGCGGGAATCGAACTCGGGTCAGCCGGGTTCGTAGTGCAGTGTGCTAACCGCTACACTACCGCTCCGCTACACCACCGCCACACACACATACACCACACTCTCGAACACTGTGACCCTACACACACACACCACACACGAACACTTTGACCCTACACACACACACATACACCACACTCGAACACTTTGACTCTACACACACACACCACACTCGAACACTGTGACCCGACACACACACATACACCACACTCGAACACTGTGACCCTACACACACACACCACACACACACACTGTGACCCTACACACACACACCACACACACACACTGTGACCCTACACACACACACATACACCACACTTGAACACTTTGACCCTACACACACAGACACACACCACACTCGAACACTGTGACTCTACACACACACAACACACTCGAACACTGTGACCCTACACACACACACCACACTTGAACACTGTGACCCTACACACACACACACACACCACACTCGAACACTGTGACCCTACACACACACACCACACACACACATTGTGACCCTACACACACACACACCACACTCGAACACTGTGACCCTACACACACACACATTGTGACAACACTAACTTTGCTTTAGGCGCTGTTGCTATGTGTAAGCCAGATCAGCCGAGGGGCTGAAATGTTCAGTGCCCTCTGTTAATTGCGATTAAATAATTAGACCGAACATCAACGTGTGACTGGCGAGTGGCCTTGTTGGGTCTCACAAGCATTGCCAATAATATTCGGATCATTCTGTATTAATTATTCCACCGGGATATTTACCAATTATCATATCCTCAGTGCTACTTGGACTTGATAGATTTTACATTCTAGCTGTTCATATGCTGGGCAGACGTCTTCAGAACTTTCTGAGCAGCTTTTAAAGGAGCTTTTAAAGTAATTGCTTTCGGGGATTAAGTATATCTTTAAAGCTTCGGTAGCAATATCAAAGGACGGATGAAAATGCATTACCGTTCTATTATTCGAGCTGTATAATTTATGATCCTGCCTTTTAACATTCAGGCGATATTGTCTTATTGCTGACTTCCTCCCACACTTTTGCCCTCTCTGTGTCCCTCACATTTCACAGGAGCCCTTGGAGATTAAATTCCAGTCCCTCAACAGTCAAGCTCTGAGTTTTATGATGGTAAGTTTCTACGCGCGGCATGCGTGGGTGACCTGCTCGAGGTGCGTGGGTGGCCTAGCGGTGAGGCCAGTGAGCCACCAACAGCTGACACCCTGAGTTCAAAGCCAGGCTTCATCCACCCGCGGTTAAACTAAACACGCAACACATTCGTCAATGGCAATGGCTTTAAAACTAAAAAGATCTAAATAATCGTCAGGGGTTTTAGTGAGTTTTTGTTGTTATATTTCTGCTTGAGCATCACACCAACTAATGTTGACTCGTGATTAAAATAGCTTCTCACGTGGTGGTGAGCTGGGTGTCAATGACTGCACACACAAAGCAAATCATCTCATTCAATGAGGGTTTTGTATTTGATTTTGCTTTCGCCGAGCATGCGACAAACAATTGTTGCAAAGCGTTGAAAGGCGTGCGTGGCCCTCGTGTGCATACGGAGATGCCTGAAGGAGTTCTGTAACATTCTCTGGGGTCATCCCCCGACACAGGGTGGTGCACAGCTAGCTCTGCTGGTCCGGAATAGAAACACATTCATCTCATTACGTGACGCCATTAGCATAATTTGGAATGTAATTGTGAACAAAATCCCCGTTAGCATATTATGGTCTAATAGTCATTAAGTAAAGATGAGGCTGGATGTTCCGTTATCAGCGGTGTGTAATCTCCAGATGATTTAATCCTCCAGGCCGATCTTCACCTTTTGATCATTATGCGCAACGTGAATGTGAATGAGGTGGGGCGGTCGCGCGTGGCGTCTCCTCCACGCTGTGCTGCGCCGTCGCTGCCTCGTGGCGGCGGCGGCAGCTTCGATCATCCCGAGGGAGGCGTCAATGCGCCACCCTCGTGAGCTGCATGGAGATGGTGGTGGGGGGGGGGCTCTGAACGAGAGTCCTGGGGGGGGGGGGCTCTGAACGAGTGTCCTGGGGGGGACTGTGAATGGGGGGGGGGGGGCTCTGAATGAGTGTCCTGGGGGGGGGGGGGCTCAATGCCGGCTGCGATCTTGCGTTTGCGACCGTGCAGTCACCTGGGAATTCATCCCAGCTTCTCAAGCCACCACGGCAACGATTAAACGAAAAAAAAAAGAACCCACCTGATGAAAAGACGATTGGGAAGCCCGTCCACATTCAATGGCTTCCCCACCCACACACATGACCCCTCTCCAACGGTACATGCTTATCATTATTTTGAAATGTGGCTGATGTCACATGTCAGGTTATTGTAAACAATAAAACAGAGAAACCACACCTGGGCCAATAAACGAATTAGCGAGTAAAAGATAATTTATATTTCAGTATGTTTGCTCTCGTTGCCATGAAGAACATATTTCGAGCTTCCGAATGACTCATAATTTGAAATTTGGTGGAGCGGTCTCAGAGTCCTCTAGCCATGCATGCACACAGGCTGGTCACTTGTTATGGAGATTGCTCTGCATTCGATTTGTTCGGCGAATCCACAGAGTGAACGACGAACTCGTCTGTACATCTAAATAGTGCTGTCGGCGTGATGTGGTTGAATAAGCCCCTTGATGGGTATTGAGCGAAGGGCCTGTGGCATCTCGCAGCCGATTCGCTCCCCAATGCGACTCGTGGCCTGCTTGTCGGAAGATGTTCCAGAAACTAAGATCGCTTTTCTCCATGGCTGCCACACGATAGTACAAGTGAACGCGCTAGCAAGACGGTCTGTTAAGTGAGCCTCCCTTCCATTCGGAACGCATCCACACATTTGTCTTCGAACGAACAAATGGATGGACAGAAGAATAGATGGACGGACACACAAATAGACGGACGTATTTCCCCGTCATTGCAATTACCAGAATATCGGCTCCCTATCTTAAAAAAATGCCAGGGTCGGTTGCCGGAACGGGTGCACATGACCGCATCTTGAAACGACACGAGGCGTGCGCGTTTGCTCCCGCCGTCGATCCGAATACGCGTGATGCCACCCGCCTCCTCCTCCTCGTCCCACAGAGCTGCCTGAGGATGGAGCCGACGGCTCGGCTGAGCTGCGAGGCGCTGCTCCAGCACGCGTACTTCTACGCGTTCCGGGAGGGTGACGGGGGTGGTGGCGTCGGGAGCCGCGAGCCCGAGCGAGGCGAGCGCCGGCACGACAAGCGCGGACGCAAGCGCCTCCCCGCGGTACGAACCGCGGCCGCTTGCGCATCTCTCGGCAGCTATTCCCGTCGCTGAGATTTTCACCACTTTTTTTGTTTTTGTAAGGTGGCCGGGTGGCGTGGCTCCTGTGTCAGATAAGGGTTGCCGGGTCTAAGGTGCAAACGCACAGAATATCTCACAGTCCGTCCGTTTGCCCAACTGTCTGTCAATCCATTTGTCCATCGATCTATTTATCTGTCCATCTGTTGATACACGTATACATTCATCCATCCATCCACTTGTCTGTCTGTTGCTCCATCCATTCGTCCATTTACCTGTCCATCTGGTAATTCATCCACCCATCAATCCATTCCTTTACATATCTGTCCATCAATTCATCCATCCATCCATCGATTTGTCTTCCTCTCTGCCCATCCATACACTCGTACCGCGCCCGTCTGTCCGGCCATCCACCCGTCCGTCGACATTTCCCCCAATCGTTGAAGCGGGGCGCGTGGTCCCGTTTGCCGACAGATGCTGCTGCTGCCGCAGCTGATCGGCAACAGCAACTCGCCGGCCCCGGAGGTGCGGAGGTACGTGCGCAACAAGCACGACCACCACCTGCCCACCATCTGACGGCGCGGGCCCACTGGAGCGTGCCGCCCTGGAACCAACAGCGGCGGAGGAGGCGCTACCGAGCCCCTTTGTTTTCCCGTTCTGTTTTTTATATTTTTAATTACGTTACTTTATAAATAACTCATGAGCCATCTGCCACAGTCTTGCATTCTCCGTTCGGTTTAGGAATAAAAGTCAACGAGAGTGGCGTGAATGTGTATGCAAAATCGAAATAAAATTAAAAGAGAACGAAACCGTAGGGTGCAGAGGGAAGGGGGTGCTAGCAGATGTCTGAAATCTGCACGCCGAGTGCTCGGAGATGGGCAGGGTGCCTGGGACTCGGGGCGGGGGGGGGACTGTGATTGGGTTCTCCTTGAGCGCTGGGGGGCAGGGATCATGTCGCAGTTACGATTGCATCGTGCATGCCCGCAGTGAGCCGCGAGTCGGTTTTCACTGCAGTCCAAACAGGATCACTGTGGGTATTTTTATTATTTGCCGCTCATTTCCCGCACCCTTAACTTATTTATGCATTCCTTTTCAGCATTAGCACGGTTGGCTACGTACGGTGCAAAAGAAGTTCAACATACATACACACATTAGGTGCGTGCCTCGATTGCTTGACAGCTCTCTCTCTCTGATGTTTGTCCTCCTTAAAAACACTCCCGAACTGCCCCTATTCGCAGCTCTCTCCTTCCCTATCCTAAATCAACGACAGTTACATTCATAACTATACGATTGCGTTCCCAGCAACAAAATGTGCCACCACCGACGTACATGATTCTACGGATACCTGACAGCATCTTTGCTGACGATCATCACCATCATCAGCAGCAATGCTCTATCCACTGCTGGATGAATGCCTCCCCAAGCCGTCACCATCTCTCGTCTAGGCCCTGCACGCTATCTGAGCTTCTCGCTCCATCTCCGTGGCGGATGACCGTGATGAAGGTGGTGGCATAATTATGCGATTAACATGACGACAATGGTAATTGCGATGGTGAGTAGTTTATATACAATTTGTCTTCGTAGGCTTTTGTGCATTAAACATGCACATATGATTGAAAGCTGTATTGCAAACTGCCAGGATGCTCAAATTGTAAGCAGCTGTTGCTGTTTAAAAAGTCTAATCTCACAATGGGATAAACGAGAGCGGCTACATCTTATCCTTGACATCGTTACCTGCGACTCCTATTATCCGTTGCAGCTGCGGGGTTCACAGAAACTCCTATTAGCCACGATCCTATTCTTCCTATTATTCGCGATTCAAGTGTGGATTTGCCCATTCCTGATTTGCGAAACGGCTTCCTGTGCGTGGAGTTTTCCCGGACAAGAAGTCACGCGGCAAAATACATCCTATTCTCTGCGAGTGGCCATGCTTTTCACCGCACAGGATAAGCGACGCAAATTGTATGGAAGCCCCCACAAGATAATAGGATCTGCCATATTGGTTTCCCTCCGTGGGAGGAGTTAGGAGGAGTTGTCGGTGCAAACATCTACATCGAAAATGAGATTCCCAGTTGCTGAAGTTGTCCGGTTTTTAATTTCATCTCCCTTACAACACGCACACCATTGTCTGCTCTCGCCCAGTGCCGGCGATACAATCGCAATTCGAGTACCTTCCATTGCGCCTGCCGCGGAGCCTACGATTGTCTGCCCACATTTGCGTCTCAGCGGTTTTTCATTAACCCCTTGTCTCCTCGGACAGCAGCCTCCCCTCTGTCCATGCAACAATACGCCTGCTGTCGTAGACAGCGGTGGCGAATATTCCTTTGGGAGACTGAAACACGTTTTTGTGGGGGGCAGTGGGCGGGGGGGGGGGCGATGACGACGACTGAAATATGTTTTAATTAAGCATTTTTGTGTATGAATTAAATGTTTAAAATATATATATTTTGAAAAGTGACGTCCGAAAACTGGCAGAGCACGAGGTAGCCCGGGGCGCCAAAGGGTGGCGCGGTGTCCCCACTTTGGACACAAGCAGTCTACATATTTGTCAAATTGCACGGCATCACCAAATCCGTTCGCATGGCACGCGCTCTGCTCGTGGTGCGACATTGCACCCTCTCGCCGGGTCTGTCGTCCACAAGGGGTCCCGCTTGTGCATGGCTGCGTTTGAATGCAAACTGCTCAATAGGTTTCAGGGGCCAAGCCCCGTTTGGATGAACCGCGCCACCGGCTGTGCTTGCTACAGAAACATCAAACGCTCGATCAAGTCAGTCCCTGCACTCATTTTAATATTTTTGGCGCAAATAATTCCCCTACCCTGAATAATCACCCCCCTCCCCAAAATCGTTAATTTCACTCAATTTAGATTGATTATGTGAAGACACCAGACCTTAACATGCTCCCCAACTGTATTGTTATCCATGATCCCCAACACCAAATCTTGTTCGATGAAGAACTTCAATGTGCTTCTGCTGCTAACAAATTGTGTCATTCCCACGAGTGGAAGGACATTGCTGCATTCATGTTCAGCTCTTGGTGTACCAGCGCTGGGGTCTTGGCGACCCGACAAATCAAGCCCCATGCATACCGTGGGACACGAAGTTCGGCCGAGTTCCCCACGCCAGGTGCATTTACTTACGTGGAATGATTGCCCAATTGGCCAAAACAGACTATTTAGTTTTTATTTTACCAGGTCAGGCCCACTGAGCTATGTAGCTCTTTTTCAGAAGCGACCTGGCCACAAATAATAGCTCAACGAAGTGGCTTATCACGTGCAAATTTATAGCAGCCAAATATTTTAAACTCATGTTTCTACATGTGGAGTGAAAGATCGGAGGACCCGGAGAAAAATCCTCGCAACCACCGGGAGAGAGAGTACAGCCAACATCCAAATATACAGCAGGCATCAGAGTTGGGATCGAACCCACGACCTCCTGTATACCAGGCAAGGTAGTTAACATCTCGCCACCGTGGCGCCCAATTAACATCGTTAACATCTCGCCGGGGAATGAGAGGAAATCACTGGGTCACCGATGTTACTGATTGTAGAATAACAAAACTAAAACGAAACCTGGTTGACTGCTGAAGCTCGCATCACTCTGCTCGTGTCCATGTCATGTGGGGAATGACTTGGCAAAGCCGACGACGTTGAGACGTTCAAGTTGGCGGGCGCAAAGGGTCATCGTTTTCATGACTCCTGCGCGCCACTGATGGCGCACGCCGTTCTGGTGAATATCGACCGTGGGGCCGCCTTCAAGTAAAATCGCAGTACCACCGTCCTCTTGTTGAGAAGACCTTCACGGGCTCCTGTGTGCTTTTGTTAAACACCCTAACATGTCCGAAACACTGTAAACAAACTTCATCATATGGGAGACTTTTATACATTTATAAGCCTAAGCATTTAAAACGCTCCTCCGAGACCTACACACACCCTTATATATAAACCGGGCTTGCCTGTGCTTTTATCTTTTAACTATATAGTGTAATTACATTTAGTGCAGTGGTAGTAATATATACCGTGATGCATAGTTGTAATATTTTTCAAAAATATTTTGATATAAATGACATGTTCTGATATATAATGTAATAACATTTGACCAGCGCATTTCAAAAATTTTGCGTGCTTACATTGAGTTATTATTGTGTACATACGCTGTTATCATAACTCCTGTTTGTTTAAAGTACCTGGATGATGAATTGTGTGCATAATAAACGTCTTTTTTGTTTTTTTGTCTGATGCAGCGTGCTCTTTTACAGCGCGGAAATATGAGGTTAATTTTATTTTCAATTTTCAAGCTCAATCCGAGTCCCTCTCCAAACCCTATTATATTGTCACCGGTATGAAATCCAGTTTCAATTTAAATCTCTGAGAAGTAATCACATTTATCAGACAATGTGTGTGTTCTAATGCATTTAGATTGTTATTAATGTATATAGGAGTAAAATAACCTTCATATTCAACTTGACACACCTATGTAATACAACATTTTAAACAGGCAATACAAAATCATCTATAAATCCTTTAGGCAGTGTGAGAGATCAATGTGATTGGCCAATGGTGCCGATCGAGGCAGTGTGAGGAATCAATGTGATTGGCTACTGATGCCTGTATAGGCAGTGTGAGTGTAATGTGATTGGCCAATGGATGCCTGTATAGGCAGTGTGAGGTCAGTGTGTTTGGTTTCTGATGTCTCTGTAGACAGCGCCTGTGCAAATTGCAGGAAATCCTAGCATCAGTCCCTGATGCCGGTTGCCCTGCTGCCGTGTGGGACAGCCGCGAGACTTGTAGGGCAGAGACCAGTGGCGTAGCGTGGCTGGCATGGGCCCTGGTGCAAGCAATGCAATTATCGATGTTCCCCGTCCAACGTCGAAAGCTGCCTCAACCTCACCTCCATGTCCACGTGTAGAGATGATATCACTACCAACGATACTCACTTGACGTGGTGGCCACCGCGTAGCACGGATAATCAGGAAGTAAAAACACGCCCCTCTATGATGGTACTTAACGTGCCTGAAAGGTTGTTGGTTCGAGGCAGGGACATTGATGAAGGGATTGAAGGAGAAATGCAAATGGGGAAAAAGAGTGGGGAAACGGAGGATGAAAGACAGGGAGGTCGGTTGGGATTCGTTCGAGAAAGTGGAAGGTGATTTGGCTGGAGGGGAAGTGGGTCAAGGAACCTTCGAGAAGGAAGCGTTGAGGGATATACACTGGGTGCATCAAAAAAAATGTGAACACTTCTGAGAATTTGCAGCAATACCACGAGAAATGTGCCTCTGGGCTCTGGAGACCACCTGGATAAGATTCCAGGCACGTGTTGACAATGATGGCGAGCAAGTGGTAGTGACTGACTTTGTGAAGCTATTAACATCACATTCGTGATCCTGTTACAGTGTATTATCCGTTCTTTTTCCATGGAAAACGATAGTCCCATATAAGTGTTAAACGTTTTTAAGCACCCTGTATAAGTGGTGGGGACGAGGGGTGGGGGGGGGTACGCGAGAGCTCGACACGCTTGGAGTGAAGGGACTCCTTGAAGACCGTGCGTCTCGTGCCCGAGGAAAAGAAGACTCCTCTGTGTTGAAGTCTGCCGTGTCGGGCGTGTCACTGCACACGTGACCCGGGAGCAGTTGCACCGCCTGCGCGCTCTTGAGCCACGCCACTGCGTGCGCGAGTCAACTGGACTCAGGGTGGAAATTTCCACTTCGTTGTGGCCGAGAAGCTGGTTATATATAAATATATATCTGCAGCACCATGCCAAAAATGGTCTCAACCATTCGGGTATTGAAGTGTCTTCTACAGGGAGAGAAAATGCACCGCTTGTGAGAACCCCGATGAGGCTTCGCTGTTCGCAAAGCAGGCATGGAGGAGCTGACCGATGTGGTTGAATAAAAAATACTTTTATTGCTATTTAACCTAATTCTTCACATATGGGAACCGAGCACATTACACCTTTCCGTAGGCATATACAATTATGCAACTTACATTATCCGAACATAATTACGGTAATTGAGCGAACAAATTAGAATGTAACTTACATAACCATAATGGTCAAATAAGCTTAATGATCTGAACCATTACATTTCGCACGCATAATGAGATGGTCGTTCAAGGCAGTCATTCACACACCTTACACAAGCATAATTGTGCCTCGTTAGTTGCGCCTGCGGTTACATGTTCAAATGGACCCGGGGAGACGGGTCATCTTCAGCTACACGTCCGCACCGCCGTTGTTAAACGCTCTGACATCGTCCCCCAACATCACACCGCGGCGGTGGTGCTGCCGAAGCAGTCAAAGATCGGCACGTGTGGTCATCACGTATACAACTTCATCAGTTGCCTGTGTCGGGTGGATGAAGGGTTTACGACACACATTTGTTTTACTCACGCGATCTGACCCCCCCCCCAAAAAAAAAAATCAGCCATGGATCGTGCTCATCTTTTGTTTCAAGCCCGAAATGTAGATCTGGGAGGATTTTTGGGTCAAGTTTTTTTTAAATTCTCAAAACAAATGAGTCACCATATTTTCCGGATTGTAAGATGCACTTTGCCGCTCCGCCTCCCCCATATTTCGAAGCAACAGTCGAAGGTGCGCCGTAGAATCCGGTCGGTATCTGTGATCAATCTTCTACAGACATCGAGGCAAGTTTGGGGGGTGTCTTACTTTCTGGTGCGTCTTATAATCCAGAGAATACTCTTTGGTTCTTTCGGTAAAGTCGCGTAGGTATAAGACAAATTAAATCACGACGTTTCGGGCGCAACACAAGCGTCCGTCATCAGGTGGGACAACCACAGCAAGAAACAATTGCTGAAGTGGGCAAAAGGGGCTGCTGCAACAAGAGGCCATATAGGAGAACACCACAAATACAGGACACTTGCAGTAAACCAATCACAACAGTGGTAAACTCGGGAAATGAGATACCAAAACCTGAGAACCTCAAATTAAGCGTTATATTAAGCAGCAAAGGCAATCTACCAGTGGTGTATACCTTTTAGGAGTCGAGTGATGAAAACTCCACATTCATATGGCCTGAGCGAATTCTTAGCCTCACGATGATTTAGTCGCAATAAGAGGACAGTTGAAAAGCGCCATTGACAGCATCACTCGGAACGCACCAAGCTTTGTGTTTATCTCCGAATCTCTGCAAGTATAAGCCTGGGCAGTGCTTGGGTGAGGTGTATGCAGAACAGGTGTTGCAGGCTACGTCGGGGCCACGTTGTAAGCAGAGGGCATTGCACCAAGATCCATTATTGTACTCAAATATGTAATCAACCTTTATACTCCCCACCTTCCCCAACCCGCACAGAGTGACCAGCGTGGTGAAGTATAGTCAAACAACCACCACCACGGGGCCGGGCAGCGTGGGGAGACAATCGCCCAGTAGTGGATTGACATCTGTCTTGGGGCCGTGCGTGGCCAGAGGTGATTGTGTTGTCGTGAATAGAGAGAGACACACACACACCAACAACAAGCCCAGGTCGGCGACTGTAGCGCGGACTCTGCTGTCCTCTTGCGGCGACGGCGGCGCGTGGCGGGGTTTTGACGTCTGCGAAACGGAAAGTGAAATTGCGGAAATGGTTCTGACGACAGCCAAGCGGGTAACAGGAAGAAACGCGTGGGGCCCCGCGACGAGCGAGCGAGCACGGTCGCGTACAAGTTGTACTCGTTGTGTTGCTACGGCACAGCGATCACACTCGCTCGTGTTCAGGGAGCCGCAGTGTGTGTTCGGCCCGGACCTGTAGGCACTGTCCACAGCCACCGTGGTGCTGAAGCGTTGTTCCCTGGAAGCCTCGCGTCTTAAATCCCAGTTGCCACATGGAAGTCGGAGAGGCGTGAGTGTTGTTGACTCGCAACACGCGCGCTGCATGCACCATCATGCACCACCATAAGCGGCTGTGGTCAACCCACTGCTGGGTTTAAGGACTTCTCCCGAGGTCGCGGCCACATCTCACCATCGCGCCTTGCAATACTCCGCCTAGCACCTTCACACGAGCTGATTTCATCGTTCCGTCTCTGCGGTGGACGTGTTTGATCGGACACGATCATGGCCTTGGCTGACATTTCGTTATTATAAACTAAAACTATTAAAGTATATATTTTTATTATTTTACCAGATAAGGGCCACTGGGCTATACGGTTCTGTTTAGCTCCTTTTCAGTAACGATCTGGTCACAATAGCTAAACGCAGTGGCTTATGTAAAAATGTATATCAGCCAAATATTCTAAACGCATGTTTGTAACTGTGGAGGGAAAACCAGAGGACCCGGAGAAAAATCCACACGACCACGGAGAGAGAGAACATGCACACTCCAAATATACAGCAGGCGCCAGGGTCGGGATCGAACCCATGGCCTCCTGTATCCCTGGCGAGGTAGTTAACATCTGCCCACCGTGGCGCCCCTTATTATAGACCATAGGCCATCATCCCAGCGACGTGAACTGCCCACGCCCTACTTATGTTACGCCATTCTGCACTTTGCGCATGTGATGCACCATACTGTTTATGGTATTCCGCATGTACACGGGACACACACACACGTGTACACGCCCAAGACATCGCTCTGCACGCGTGCAATGCACATGTACGACCTATGTACACATACAACACGGACAAGCCACGTGTACAACACAACTGATTGCACATTGTAGCGTGATACGCTCAGCTCGCTAAACATCTTATAAAACACAATACTTTTACAGGCATGCAGTTAGAGCTACAACTAACATTCATTGAAATATCTTCCATTCCGGCTTACCGACTGACTGGGCAACTTGTGTTGTAGATCACTCATCAAGGAGGCAGTGCAGCGCCTACATTGACTTGAGATGGTGGGCAGAATACCACTCACGGCCGCATTTGTCTCCCCATTGCTGCTGTTGGTAGCCGCATTGCAAAGAAGAAACTCCCAGGCGTTTAGTGTGTTTTGCCTCCAGGCTGCGGGAACAGTATTTGCATGTTCAGTACACGGTGTTTCTTCACGTATACTGCATGCCAGCCGGTGTGTCGGTTCAGAGACTGCATACGATCGTTCAAACCGTCTTCCCCACTGTCTGCTTGGAGTAATCTCTTATTTTCACAGTCAAAGGAACATTTATATTCAAGTCTCTTGTTTTTACATTACATGTCCATAACATTTTTCTTGTATCTATCTCTAATATGCTTAAGTGTTCGTTCTGTACCTGCTGGACCTTCATACACTTGTCACACATCTTGTTTGTGTCTGTCCATGCATTTTATTTACATTGTCAACAAGACACATTTCTGTTATTTCTACTCTACTTTGTAGGGTCTTTGTATCATTGCTCAGCATGCACGTCTATATTGAGCTGACCATGTGTTCAGTAACACTGCAGTATTGTAATTATTGTATTTAGGAATGAACTGGAGGTCGAAATAATCAAATAATATATTTGGATTCTAGATTTGAAGTTTTCGTGACTACAAAGATCCATACTCTTTGGTTTTTCGGTAAAGTCACGTAGGTGAAAAATAAAAGAAATTAAAAATGAAAAAATGTAGTTGTCTTCATTTCTAATGTATGTTATTTTTTACCCTACGTTACTTTACCGAAAAAACCAAAGAGAATATATTTGAAAGCTGGCTAAGTGGCGTGCGCTCAGAGCAATGCGCTCGGCGTGTGATCGATGTTTGTGTGTACACAGAACCGTGGAGGAAGAGGCTTCGCAATCCAAAACGTTCAAGACTTGGCAGGACAGCGCTTTTTGCAGGTATGACTCAAACGGGTTCAGTCAAAGACGTTCCACTTTCAATTGAGAAATCGTCACGATTCTTTTGCAGCAACAACGTGTATCGCTCGATGTGTCTCACGTCTCTTGTTTCGTGTTTTAAATGGTCACATGGGCGGAGTGACGGCGCGGTGTGGCACGCGTTGTGTGTTGATGGATTTCTCGCCACGGCTAACGTCGTCAGCCGTGGCCAGTGCTATCTTGAGCCGGATATTGGACGCCACTCGCCCCTTTATCAGCCCGCACTCACCAGTGTGGTGAAGGGCGATAGAAACAACCTCCATGATGATAACATGGCGCGGCGAGGCCTTCAACCGGCAGTAGATTCACAATGGGCTGTGAACTGTCAAGTGGCCATCAGGCAGTATCTCACCTCATGATCATTACTATTGTATAATTAAATGGCTTTAACTTTGCACAGACGGCAGAGGGCACTTGAGCAAGGAGTCTGCCCATACAGAGTCGACATTGGCCGACGAATTCTCACGGACAAAAATGCCCTCTTCCCACTTCTGCATCAAGGAAACGAGGTATGGTGCACCGAGAAAGCCTGGAGTTTAGGACATTCCAAGCCCAGTGGCTGAGACAAATTAACTCCTTGAGATTCATATTTTCGGTTTGGTTGGAAGGTGGTTGAGCGTCTGCGAGCTTTAATACTCCGGTCATCCTCGCAGCAATGGCTTTTAGCTAACCATCGAACAAGACGGTCACTGCATCGTGTGCTTTCAAATGAGCTTCTGCGGCCGTCTGGAACGCTCTTCCTTCCAATATTAAGAAGCCAATAAAGTTATGCACTTTTAAATCTAGATCAAAAACTAATTTCTTTCTGTTTTTGTGTGTTAAGTTTGTTGTCCTTTCCCCGCACCTCCGATTAGCATGGTTGACTACGTACGGTGCGAAAGAAGGTCAACATACATATGTAGTGACTAACTCGGAGACGATAAGACTTGGAGGCAGTTCTTTATTAACGAGCATCATCGGGATCCACACACTTAATATTTAGTTCGTCTGTTATCGGCGACGCTACTCAGCCAGGACAGTTGGTAGGCTGCCTGACTGGCGGCGCCCCGAGGTGGTAGAGACGGAGACGACGACGAGAAGGACGGTGAAGACGACGAGAAGGACGGTGGACGAAGGACTTGAGCGGCACCACGGGGATCCCACTACAACAACAGCCACGAGGTCCCCCACAGCGGCCCCTCTTATACTGTCACGTGGCCACGCCCCCTTTCTGGAACCTTCCAACAGGTTCCCGGTGGGCCCCTTCTGTGACCTTTCCCCTCGATCCCCCTCTCGTGTCTGTCATGGCCTGCTGACGTCAGGACTGCCGTACGCCGCAGATCCCCTTTTCTGGCAGCAGCCAGCGCTATTCCACTACACATACATCCAATGAAGTGGATGTTTAAAAGTGCCCAGTCTCGCGCGTGCTGTGCCCCGTGGCGTAGAGCGAGCTGGGCCTCGAGGTGTCCTCTCTGCGGGACGGCGTCGTGCGTGTGCGGATCAACGAGACGCGCCCCCTACGGCCACGGTACCAGGTCCCAGATGTCCTGCTGGCAGAGCCGGACACCCAGAGGTACCGCACCGCTGTCACCTTTTGAGACGCAGTGAGGCTTTCTCGCCTCGACTGGACATCTGTGAAAAAAGAGCTTCATAGCTCATCGGATTCTTCCAGAATAAATAGAAATTCTGATTCTGAACTCGTAGATGTGTAATGCTATAGCTACCTCCCCATTGATCCTATGAATTGCCGTGATTCATGCTTGCCGTTTGTTCCCAGAATGTATAACTTTTTTCCCCTTTGGTACAATTTAGTTTGCACCGTGCGTCTAGATTTGACAGCTTATCATTTGCTCGTAATTTACACTAATAGTTAATCATCGATTCTTACGTAATTTGTTGCCTATGTTATGAGTGTAAGAATCGATTAAAATCATTGAATTAAAGCAGTATATCATCATAACAATTATAATATAATTATTCCATACCTAGTAAAAGGGCATTGTTATTTACTGGACAGAATACCGCTGCGGCATGGACGTTCACGCGCAGAGCACAGCGGTATAGACGTAGCATACAAAACGCCCTCCCCTCTGTGACCTGTGCTCTCCCTCGGCGGAAGATGGACTGAGGAATCTGTGGACGAGAAGAGAGTGACACTGGGTGCCGGGGAAGTGAGCGTAGTCGTCACGGCCGCCCCCTTCCAGGCAGAAGTTCGTCTCGCTGGCCATCCGTTTGTGAGTCTCAACCCGCAGGGTCTGCTGCATTTTGAGGTTCTTCAAGAGAGACCGGAACGGTATGATGAAGTGTTTCGGTTTAAAGCTTTCGTGACTGCAGGGATTCATCTTCTTGGTTCTTTCGGTAAAGTCACGTAGAAGGGAAGTAATAAAATAATAAAAATAAAACAATAATTCTCACGACGTTTCGGCCACAACGCAAGCAGCCGTCGTGAGAATTATTATGTTTTATTTTTATTATTTTATTACTTCCCTTATACGTGACTTTACCGAAAGAACCAAAAAGAAGTGTTTCGGTGTTTGTTTGTATCGATCTGTTGTGAAGCAGTGGTACAGTGGTACACGGAGACTGTAGCCTGATTCGTGGCTCCTGATATCTGAACTAGTTCAGGGACTGGCTGTGAGAGGGTGGGTTTGGCAGCAGTCCTTTTCCAACCTGCACTGCCCGGTGTGGTGAAGCACGGTTTTAAAATAAAGCTGTTATGTTCCACGTGCCGTAAGGAGGCCTCCGTCCATTGGTGGAATTGGCTGGACGTTTATTTTAATCATTATCCTTATAGGCCCACGCTCATTCTATTTTTATGTTTTCATCCCCACTCTACACTTGGTGATTCGATCGGCTGGCGGAATTTTCAGCAGATGTGTGCCACCCGCTAATATTCCCCCTTCTGCACTGTGGTTCGTTTGTGCTCCCGATGGAAATATTTCCCCCCGCCACCCCCACTTTATCAATGCTGCAGTGTGCTTTTTCGGCACAGTGTGAGGCCAGAATGCCTTTATTGTTGTGCTATTTCATCTGACTTACAAATAGACCGTTGCATTTCTCTTCTCTTTTATATATGAGCTTTTACACTTTGTGTTTTTAGTGCTGTTGGGGTAAGCGGTGTGGAGACACAAGCAAAAGCAAATGACGACCCAAAAGCAACGGAGGCAAGTGATGTTTGAGTAACACTGATCTTACCACTACTGATTTATTTAAAGACGCCTGTCATGCTGCTCATAACTTCATGTATGTTATATGTATGTTGAACGTCTTTCGCACCGTACGTAGACAACCATGATAACCATGATGAAAATCGGCAATAACATTCTCTTTTCCAAAATACAAGTTTGTTTTTTTGAGAGGCCGTGGTCTGGCCTGAATTATCTGATACATGAAGTGAGTGGCTGGTTGTGATTGGCCGGTTGTGATTGGCTGGTTGTGAGTGCTCGCTAAAGATACCCATTGAGGGATTGCAGAATTACAATACAGTGTTCGTAAAATCTTCATACGTACTGAAACGTACGTATTGAAATATTATTGTGTTCATTTTAATTGTGTTCTTGTTTATGTATTTAACTGTGTTTATTTCATATTAAATACATTAATGATGTATTAAGATGTTTATTATATCATCAATATTTCTTCTTTCGTATGGAATTTTTAGGGAATTGCAATTGATTATAAATTGATGTCTATATTTAATATCCATTCGACTGCTTCAGGAGTAGCCGCGTTGAATGATCTGATTGGGCAGTCGTTCACGACATGTTGCACGGTCTGAGATGTCGCTCGACAGTCACAAACTGGGCTCTCGTTAATTTTCCATTCATAGAGACAGTGTCCCCACATCTTCTATGGAGTGTGTCCGCATCCGATTCAAGGAGGACCAGATCTTCCTCGATAGGTCAGATCCCGGTTGGAGGATTGTGGGGTCACTGATGATGGATTTCTGCAGCGGGTTGTTGTTTGCCGAGGATTCCCTCCATCGTGCTTCGGTGGTCTTGTCGTCGTCATGGAGGCTGTTTGCATATTGCCAGAAAGGTTGTCTGGATTTGAGCCACCTGTGCGGTGGTGGCATGGAAATGTCCTTTGTTTATTGGGAGGTTTAGATTTCTGATGGCCTTGCAGTAATCCCTCGCACGCGCGCCATCGCGGCGGAGCTGCTGAGGAGCGATGCTCGTGAGGCCCTCCCACCATATACCGTGTCATAGGCCACTGATAGGTCGATGAAAGCAGCTCCTGTGATGTTCTTGCGCTGGTAGCCAGCTTCATTGTGCATGGTGAGTGCCAGCACTTGGTCGCATGTGTTGCGGCCGTGGCGGCAACCAGCCTGTTCAGTTGGTATAGCCTCCTCGAAGATTGGTGACATACGGGTCGGTAGCATCCTCTCCAGGAGTTTGTACACCGTAGTAAGCAGGAATATGGGGTGGAAGTTATTTGGGTTTGCGGTTGATTTTCCAGGCTTTGGAATGGCAATGACCATTTTGTTTATTTTGCCTGAGGCCATTATGTCGGAAAACAATCTAGCCAGCCAGCGGCATCCTTTTCGACCAAGGTGTTTCATGAACTCCGGATAAATCCTGTCTAATCCTGCGACCTTTCCTGATGCGGTGGCTTTCATGGCATCAATGGCTTCTTTTTCAGTGAGGGGGGATGACAAGGCTATTGTCGGTGCTGATGATTGGTGGAGTTGTTGCCTTCACTCGCTCTCTTGCGTGCCGGTCTGAAGGGATCTTTCCATTCAGCAGCATGTGTGCGGCGACGGCATTGACGGGCACGTTGGCAGTATTGTTTGGTGGTGGTAGTGGTGGTGGTGGTATTGTTTGGTGGTGGTGGTGGCGGTATTGTTTGGTGGTAGTGGTGGTATTGTTTGGTGGTGGTGGTGGTGGTGGTATTGTTTGGTGGTGGTGGTGGTGGTGGCGGTATTGTTTGGTGGTGGTGGTATTGTTTGTTGGTGGTGGTGGTGGCGGTATTGTTTGGTGGTGGTGGTGGTGGTATTGTTTGGCGTTCGATCGCCAGGTTTGTGATGAGCACGCAACAGTGGAGACGACGGGAAGGTTGTCATCTCCATCTCCATCATCATCATCACCATCATCATCAATACTATTATGGATGTATTGACAGATAATGAAAACAAATATTAAGGAATGCTTCTTTCATGATCAAATTCAGTAACCGAAAGCATTTGTGGAATGCTTTGATGTCTGCTGGCCGAGTCACAACTAGAAACGAGCTCCTGGGCTCAATGGGCTTTACTCGGGAAAGCATTTTCTGATTATCCTACCTTCACTTGACTAGTTAGTTCATTTGAATTCCAATTTGCTTTCTATAATTGCCCGAGGGATACATTTTCTGCTGTGTTAAGAGTTTATGGGTGTTTATCCATCCAAACGACACGAAGCTTTTCTTTTATCTTTTAAATTGTCTCCAATATACTTCACAGATCAAGATAAATCGGTGTCTCTGAAAAATATTTCAAAATGTTCTTTGAATAGGCTCCGTTAAAGTATATCACCTTGTCTTGTTATTTTCTTGTTATGTGTTTTGTTACTTTGTGTGATCTTGGTGTATCTGTCTGATCTTTATAATGGTGTAGATAATATATTTAGTTATTACTCACGGAAAAATAGTACAATATAAGGATGAGAAGGCTCCAGAATATGATAATTTAAATGTAACCTCTAGAGGTTACTGATGGACTGAAAACTGAACAATACTGGCCTAGGTGGAATAATAAATAAAAGTTATTATCACCAGCATATCCCGTGGGAATATGATTGCGATTGCAACTGCGATGTGACCGATGATTTTGTCATAGGCCTCGTCAGGAGCAGACGTTGACAGTGATGGATTGTGGGAAGAAACTTTCAATGAGGTCGTGGACAAAAAACTGAACGGTACAGAACAATTATTTCCATAATATATGTTTTTGGGTTATATGATATAAATATAAACGTGTCGTTAAACCCGCCACCACCCGACACAGCCAATTAGTAAGGTTTGTCACGTAAGCAGAACATGCCAATTCGTTACTAGTTAAACACACTGGTGTGTTGGAGAGTAAACCCACAACATATACAAATCGAATACGACGTTTCACCGGTAATTACAACCAGTATCATTGGGCAACAGCCAGAGTTATGGAGATATCCTCCTGTTTCGGTCTTAAATCGAGGGATTAATGTGCTGTCGTCACTTGTGAGATAATTCATTACCGGTTGGGTTATTCATAGGGTAATCAACGTACATAATGTGCCATTTGGATAATCGGCTCGTGTTTTGCATTTTGCGAGCAGGGCCGTCCTCGGTGGGGCTGGATTTTGCGCTGCCGGACTGCGGACACGTCTACGGCATTCCCGAGCGAGCCACCAGCTTCCGGCTGAAGCCAACCACGTGCGTTCAGTCCACATGGAAACATTGCGAGTGTTTGGCTGCTATAAATGTCCACGCTGATGAGCCACTTTGTTGAGCTATCATTTGTGACCAGTTCGCTTCTGAAAAAGAGCTGTATAGCTCAGTGGGCCTTACCTGGTAAGATAAAACATAGTTTAGTTTCGTTCATTAATTACAATTAAAAGCGATTACATTGGCAGCTCTTCGCCAAGTCACTGCAGCATGAAGGCTTCCCCACCCATGGGGTTGTCACCTGCACGGGTTGTGAGACCATACTTCACCACGCTGGTCTGTGCTGGTTGTGGTGTCTGTGACCAGTTCAACAATTGCTCGCGACTGATTCGAACTCGGGTCGCCAGGCGCGTAGCACAGTGCCCTAGCATGGGGGTTGTTGGGCCATAATTCCACACGTTTCCTACCAACATTAACAGAAAATAACATCTCATGAGAATTCACTTAAAGACGATGGTTGAATACTCGAGGGACGTTTTAGGTTTTGCCCGGCCTTTGTGCCCGTTTGTGTTTGCCGCTTTGTGCAGGGAGGGCAGCCCTTACCGCATGTTCAACCTGGACACGTTTGGTTACGAGCTGCACAATCCACAGGGCCTGTACGGGGCCGGTGCCTCTGCTGCTCGCTCACTCAGCGCGGCGCACCTCTGCCATATTCTGGCTCAACTCCTCGAAACCTGGGTGGATGTGTCTACGACACAGCAGCAGCAGCAGCCTCCGGTAATGCGGTCAACACCAAGAACCACGACAACCCGCACCTCCGATTAGCGCGGTTGGCTACGTACGGTGCTAAAGAAGTTCAACATACATATTTACAATCGCAACAACAACAGACCCTGGGCAACCCTGTGTTCGAGCGTTATTGTGTATGTGAGTCGGTGCGTCGCAAAGCTCAGGAGGGGCCATTCTATCGTCTGCGCACTGCCAGCTGCTCGTCTTAATTCTACTTTATCTGGGCCCTGTTGTGTTTGAAAGGTCGCGCTGTATTTGTAGTGGATGTTGACCTGTAGGCCTTCGTCTGTTAAAGCCGATTCTTATGCTCTTTGATTGATGCGCTCGACTGGTAATAACACGTCTGACAAATAAGTAAAAGCGGATCTACAGACCAGTAGACTTGTAAATGAAAATAGCTCAACGGCAATGTCTTGTCAGCTCCGGGGGCATTTGTCCAGCCATGGCATGAGGTCATCTATGCAGTCGTTACCCAACTTTACACAGCAGCCTACATCGGCATCTAAACACATCATCATCATCACGATCCATGAGCAGATAGTCCGTTGGTGTCCACTGCACATGTCGTCATTTGTTTCCGCTTTCCTCTGTCGTGCGCCAACGTGCTCAAGTAGTGCCGCATCTTTCTGGCACCAATCTCTTGTGTCGTCAAGCCATTATCTGTTAATCGTTTCGAATTTTCTAAACTCTGTGTTTGAGTATGAACGTGTTGGTGGCGTTTTTGAGTGGGAGATTTGTGCCAGAAAAGGCACCACGTATGTGACCAAAAATAAAATTCACTTCACTTGACCTGGGCCCTTTCCAGGTGCCCTCCGAGCCGTCGGCGAGTCAGAGTTCGTCGGCCTGCGATCGAGTGGACACGGGGGTCCGCTGGATGTCGGAGAGCGGCATCATCGATGTGATCGTCCTGCCGGGCCCGACGCCGTGCGACGTGCTCCGGCAGTACGCCGGCCTCACGGGTTGGCGCTCCGCGCACGCCGCGCCCCCTTGGGTTGGCTCGGCTGTGGTCACTTCTCTCAGGATGTGATTCAGGGCGAGTGTCAAAGAGGTCAAGAGTGCTGAGCTTGGCACCGTCCGCTGAGATGCTGGGTACTCGAACTATCACCTCGAGCGCTTGATTGAACTGGGTTCTAAAGTGAAGTTAGTGGATTCATGGTTTCACCGGAGTCGTCAATGACCGCTCGCAAAAACATCCCCCGTCGTGTTGAAATTTGGTGTTGCGATTAATTTAGCAAAATTCAGCTCGAGAAATGAAACATATTGGTTTGACTGACATGCGAGGATCGTCGTTACTCTTTGTGGAGAAAAGATCACTTTGCAGGGATCTCAGAATTAGTTCTGTGATATCTGTTTCCACAGACCGTTCTTCACCACGGTGGGGGGGCGGTTGCACAGCTCTGCGGCAGTCCTGAATAGATCCTCCTATCTGGCGACATGAAACCAATTGTGACTGTGATTCTTTTTGTGAGACTATCTTTACTATTCATATATGTTTCTTTTACCAGGTAAGGCCCACTGAGCTTCATAGTTCTTTTTTTCAGAAGTGACCTGGCTACAAATGATTGTTCAACGTAGTGGCTTTTCACGTGGACATTTCTAACAGCCAAATACTCTAAACGCGTTGATTCTAAATGTGGAGGGAAAAACCGAAGTTCCTGGAGAAAAATCCACGCGAGCACAGGGAGAACATAAACATTCTAAATATACAGGCATCAGGGTCAGGATCGAACTCACGACCTCCTGTATACCAGGCGAGATAGTTAACATCTCGCCACTGTGGCACCCCTGACATTGCGACTCGTGGCGCGTCACGTTACGGCTGTTGTCGACAGAGCCATTGGGTTCTCCTCCGTTGGGAGTGCAGGCACGCAGGCCCTGCCACCCTTATTCGCGCTCGGCTACCACCAGAGCCGCTGGGCCGAGCAGACGGAGGCCGACACGCGGGAGGTTGACAGCGGCTTCAGGAGGAGCTGCATCCCGTGCGACGTCCTGTGGCTCGACATTGAGCACACGGACGGCAAGCGGTACTTCACGTGGGATGCCGGTCGCTTCCCCGACCCCGTCGGCCTCCAGAACGACCTCGCGGCAAAAGGTCGCAAGGCGAGCAGCGTGGGGGGACACCGGAGCTAAAACCCACAGAGTTTGTGGCCGCTCGGCTTGCCGTTATTAATCGCGTCTCTGATGGCGGTCTGTACTCGATTCACCTCCCTCGGGATTCTATGGATTGTCGAGGTTAAGGATCGCGATTCAGTTCAAGGATCCGCACCTCCGATTAGCGCATTTTGCTTCATACGGTGCGAAAGAAATTCAACATACATAAGTACAAGGATACATTTTCTTACTTTTCCTAATACTTTTGTTGATTGTGGCGCTCTGTAATTGGTGCAGGGGTCGCGTGAATTCGTTACATACTGCACAGCACAGACTAATCAACAAACGTAGATTCTTGTGGAGTTCACTGCGCGGATCGTGAACTTTTGAGAGTTAATGTTCAGCGATGCACCGTTAAACCCCTCATGCAGGAAGAGTCGTGAAACGTAACTTTAATTCAGTGGGGGGTGATGACCGCCCGGCACTGTCTCCTGTCTCCACAGGTGGTGACCATTGTGGACCCGCACATTAAGGTGGACGATGAGTACTTCATTTATTCGGAGGGCAATGCCAGGGGATATTTTATCCGAAACCCCGACGGGAGTAACTACGAGGGCCGCTGCTGGCCCGGTGAGTGTCAGCCTTTGTCGATGAGCACGGTTGGCTACGTAGGGTGCGAAAGAAGTTCAACATACGTACATACATATGAGGACGACACGCGCACCGCCAGATTATCACGGACAAATAGAGAGTTGGCCCTCGTGTGTGGCGGTGGCCGTACTCTGTTGTCTGAGGATGGGCATCTCGACAATTAGGGAGAGTGGTGACATCTTGTCACCAGAGTTGCGAGATGTTAACTCCCTCGCCTGGTATGCAGGAGTTCGTGGGTTCGATACCGACTCTGACGCTTGCATATTTGGAGTTTGCGTGTTCTCCCTGTGGCCGTGTGGATTTTCTCCGGGTCCTACGGTTTTTCCCTACACATTCATAAATGTGCGATTAGAGTATTTGACTGCTATACATGTCCGCACGATAAGCCACTTCGTTGAGCCATAATTTATGGACAGGTGGCTTCTGAAAAAAATCGATATAGCTCACTGGGGCCTTACCTGGTAAAATAGAAATAGCTTAGTTTTAGTTTAGTTTGTTTTACACACTTCACTATGAAACCGGCGCTCAGGGTTTGACGCTCAGCCACGGCCAACGTCAGCGGTGAGTAAAATCTGAAGCACCCCTCGGCCCCCCCAACTACTCATCTCCACCAACCCGCACTGACCACCGTGGTGAAGTATAGGCAAGCAACTCCCATGACAGTTTGTATGTATGTAAGTCGAACTTCTTTCGCACCGTACGTAGCCAACCGTGCTAATTGGAGGTGCAGGAATGTTGATCTATGGCTGATAGAGTGTGAGTAGGCCTTCATCCACCAGTCTGACTGACAAAAGGGATGTAACGTATTATTAATATTAATACAATATTCTCTAAATCAGGGGCGGTTTCTTCATTAGGGCGATTGGGCGACGCACCACCAATGTCATTCAACCACAGTCACGCTAGCCGTCACTGCAGCCTCTGGATATAGTCCAATCAGCGTCATGTCACGTTCTGTGGAGTACCGCCTCTTTTGGGGCGATTTCACTCCGGCTGAGAATCGCCCCGAGTGGCCCCATAGACTTACATTGAAAGATGTTTTTTTTCGAACGGGGGCGCTCCAATGCATTCTCTATGGCTTCCGGGAGGGCTCGCCCTAACGTGCTTACGTCATCATACGTGCTTACGTCATCATACGTAAGCACGTTTCATCCAACAATATAATTTATCGCTACCTAGTGGAATCTTTAATAAAATAAACTTGAGTGGTTTGTTTTAATAGTGAGTATATAAACAAAAAAGATGTATTGTAAGAGTCACTTTATTTTTCATTAATATTAAAGAAGTGAAGTTGCCTTTACATGCTTAAGCTGTTACTTTATCCATTACATGGGTGGACCTTATCCTTATCAATCATCCAGACATTTGCCCCCCCTGAGAGATTTTGCAGGAGCCGCCACTGCTCTAAATACATACGCATCGCAAGATGCTGTACAAGACATTGGGACGCGCACATCATCGGTGACCAGGAGGTGCATCTCTAGCTTTGTTTTCAAAGTAAGAGACAGTTTTAGGCAGAGGAGAGAAAGAAGGTCTTGAGCTTACGAGGATCATTCAGTGAGTGTGATGCTCTACGAATTCAATGAAAAACCAGTACATTTACAGTGCCCTAACATGGGAGTTGTTGGATAATACTTCACCAAGCTGGTTGTGGTGAAGCGAGCGTCCGTGCCCAGTTCGCCAGTTCGGCAATCACTCGCCACTCTTGAGCTTACAAGGATCATTCAGTGTGTACATTATAACAGTGCACGGTTTGGTGAAACGTCACGTTGCCCTCATTGTTTGTTTCTTCACACGGCACGGGGTCGACTTGAAGAGGGGGCCGGGAGTAGACAGTGCGGATCACCGGTGGGAGGGCTTTCAAGTGTGAGCCTACGAAATATTAATACGCCTTTTTCATATTTCATGCGGAAGGCCTCTCCTCATACCTGGACCTGACCAACCCCGAGGTGCGTGATTGGTACGCGAGCAAGTTTGATTTCTGCAACTACAAGGTAACGAAACATATCCTACTTGCCAGACACAAACGTGCGGTACGTTTTTAAAGGTTTATTTTTTAAAATCCGGATTGTTAGGATTGTGATGCAATGTGATGTGGAACCGCTTACGTTAAATATGTCAACATCATAATCATTACGTGAAAAAAAATCGACTTCATATGGCTAATTGAGCTCATGGTGGTACAGTGAATGGGGATCATGAACCCATCTGTGTAACCCTTTTTCCTCAGACACACGAAACACTCCTTAAAAAATGAAATTGGCTAAAATCGCAATGCACTACCCTGCTGACAAAAAGTCTTGACACTTAGTGAGGGTTACTTGGATAAATAAATTATATTGCAATGAACATTAACAGTATGTTCACCTCTTTTCCATTGTTTCTTTGTTCTGTCTCTCGTGTTGCAATTCTGATAGCTGTGTCACAAGAGCACCCTGCCCCTTGCGAGAGAGAATGTATCGCACTGGACTTCTCAAAAATCCTTCAATTGGCCTTTTCCTTTGCACAATAAATTTGGGGTGCACTCTTCCACAATGATGATGATGGTGGTGATGGTGGATCTTTTATGTTGCTTCGTTGGCCACCAATCAGAGACGAACAACTCGCTGCACGAGTGAACCTGGTTTTAATCTCAGACAACAACACGGATTCGAACCCAAGGTTGCTTTGTGAGATCACAGCAAATTCAAAGTCCCGTTTCTCTGATCGCGTCACAGTCCTGACAGTGCGGCAGGGTGATTAGACGGAATGTGTTGGTGCTACGAATGGAGCGGTGGCTTCGTGGTTAGCCCAGCGTCCTGGGTTTGACCCCCATCCACGGCTCTTGTCGGGAGCGAGCGATATCTGAACCGGTCCTGAGGCCATCCTTTGGTAACCCACACTGACCAGCATGGTGAGGTGTTGTAGGCTTTCACGAACAACATGATTAATAATTGGTTTTGTTTGGGTTAGTTCTCGTAGGTATATTGTCAATGATGCTTGAACTATGACCCTCCACCACCCGAGAGAGCCAATCAGATCAAGTTGTCACGTGCCTGGGAGGTGCGCTGTTAAAATGAAGCGGTGACGATGATGCCGATGGCGATGAACATCTGTCGTGTGCATTGCGTTGATCGTTGTAGAACTCGACGGCGGCGCTGTTCACGTGGAACGACATGAACGAGCCGGCCGTGTTCCACTCCATCGAGAAGACGGTGCCCAGGAACTGCCTTCAGTGGGGCGGCTGGGAGCACCGAGACAACCACAACCTGTACGGCTTCTACCAGGTGCCGCTAGCACCGCCAGTACCACCACTACCATTGCCATGCTGGCGCTACTACCAACACCGCCAGTACCACCACTACCACCAACACCGCCAGTACCACCACTACCATTACCTTGCTGCTCCGACTACCGCCGCTACCACCACCACCAACACCGCGACCACCACCGCTATCACCATCATCGCCAACACTGCCACTTACAAATTCCGTGACCCACCCTTACTGGGTCTTACCCACTTCCCCGCTCAGCGTGACTTTGCCGGCGGTCTAGAACCGCCGTGCGCGGGATGCCAGGGAGCGGCGACTCGCAGCGGCCCTGCGCTGCGCGTCGCCGCTCGCTCCGCTGACGCCGCTTCTGCCGTTTTGCAGCAAATGGCGTCGGCGGACGGGCTCGTGAGGAGGTCGGGAGGCCTGGAGCGGCCCTTCGTGCTCACCCGCTCGTTCTTCGCAGGATCACAGCGCTACGGTGAGCGGGCCCTCGAGGCCGACTGCGGCGGGGGCGTGCGGCCGCTCGCCCGGCGAACGCGGCGAGGAAGGGGTGGCACATCAGCGCGAGGCGCTGGAGTGGAATTTTTTTAGATTGTTGAGGTCAAGTGGGCTGGAAGGTGACGATTTATTATTTACGTTATTCTCGTGTTGACTTTTTGTTTGTTTGCCAACTGGGTGCTCGTGAGGACGTTATAATATTTGTCCGGAAACTATCCTGGCTATTATCAGGGAGCGCATGTTACATTTTATTTGGGTAATTTTTCCCCGCCCCCAGTGTTGTTCTGGTGATGGTATCGGCGTCCATTGGGAACCCTCACAGCGCATTCCGTATCCTGCAGAAGCAGCGCAACTGAATTATTTTCAAGCCTTTTTTTAAAACCATACACTCGGGGGGAGCACTTTGCCACATGCCCTCCATGGATAAACGTTTGTCACGTGGCAATTCAGAAAACAACATAAATTCGATGTGATAGCGTTTTTTTAGCTTGCGCAGTAATTGGTATACATATCAGTAAATTACGAGAATAAGTATTCGTTACAGATTTATAGTACAGGCTGTAAAACTATGAGTTTCAAACAGCAACACAATAATTTGTAAAAATCACACAGCCTTTGTGCATATGCACACAACTATCAGTAGTTCCTGACGAAGTGCATTGTGGTCCTCTTGTCTGAGAGCATCATCACTTTGTGGCCAACTGACAGCAGTGACAGACCACTGTGTGGACCGGTATCGACCTCATTACTCGAAGTATATTGTCACAAATACACCCACTGCTGCATATTTACTTGGTAGACCTGGCTGGGACCAAAAACTCACAACACAGAAAATCTAAATTTTAACCTTCTCGATTTGAAGCTTTCGTGACTGCAGGAATCAATACTCTTTGTTTCTTTCGGTAAAGTCACGTAGTTAGATATAAAATAAAATAAAACAAATCACGATGTTTCGATCGCAACACAAGCGGTCGTCATCAAGCAAAGGAGTCAGCCTCTAAAGGCAAACTGTTTATAAAGGTTTGGGGATGGGCGTAGCCTAATTGTATCAGCAGCACCAGGAGCACGGGCGATGCACGAGTGCCAATGCAGCAACAATGCCAATGTAGCAGCAATGCCAATGCAGCAGCAATGCCAATGCAGCACCAATGTTAATTCAGTTATTTTCTTTTATTTCTAACTACGTGATTTTACCGAAAGAACCAAAGAGTTTGAACCTTCTCATCGGTGATGGCTCAGTGTTTTGACCTCTGACCCACGCGGCCATCTCAATGGTGGATGTCCTATCAGGGACGTTCCCTGCTTATGGCTGCCATGCCAGCAAGATTGACTGGGAGGTCTCTCTCCAGGTGCGGTGTGGACAGGGGACAGCCTGGCGACGTGGGATTACCTTCGCATGTCCACACCGATGCTGCTGAGCCTCAGCGTGTGTGGGATCTCGCTGTGTGGAGGTTTTTTCACGCACACACACACAGTTTTGTTCTGTTGGGACACACTTGCATTACATCATCACCGTCATCATCATCCCGACCAGTCTATCTGCAGCTGGATGAAAGTCTCCAGAAGCCAGGAGACGTGCAATCTCCTACACTTGATTGAGTGTGAAACCTTTTGATATTTGGTAAAGGTTAACGTGCAGCCCTGCAATTTCTTGGTGGAAAGGCCTCCACCAGAGTGAGCTCTTGAGAGAACCCCTTTAGTGGAGGGAATTTTACCTACTCACTCTTCTACACAAGAGGTGGCATCATCCACACTTTACCCCACCCACAACGCGAGACCTGCGGATCGACCCACCGCGGTTTCACACGTTTATACCACTGGGGTGGACAGAGGCAGGGGCATTGAAGAAGCTAGCACCCACAGCTTTTACTGCCACGTCACGGCTCAACGACTGAACTCAGCGGTCGCTCTCGGGGGCGACGGCGCGCTCGTGTGTCGTAGCGGACGTGGGCGGCTTCTTCGAAGAGCCTCAGTCGCAAGCGATGGTGCTGCGCTGGTTCCAGGCCGGCTCGCTGCAGCCGTTCTTCCGCGTCCACTCGGCCAAGGTTCGGCGCGAGCCTTGGCTCATGGGCGCCAGCGGCGAGAAGCTGATCCGGCGGGCGGTGGCGCTGCGCTACTCGCTGCTGCCGTACTGGTACACCCAGTTCTACCACGCGCACCGCACCGGCCAACCCGTCATGCGGTGAGCTCCTTCCGCCCGCACGACGTCGCGCGAGCCGGAGCGTTGTCTTCAGAGGGCGCCTGTGTGTGCAGGCTCTGAGTTCACTGACTGCTGTGGAGAAGGGTGGCGGCAGTGGTTATTGCGCTGCATTGTGCACTCGGCGACCTGAGTTCGATTCCCGCTCACAATGTGTATTTGTCCTGGTCCTGTGCCTAACCCTAGATTGAGTCAGCCTGCATTGAGTACCTGCTATGGTGCGTAAACAACAGCATTGGGGAGTCAAAGGCGGCCGGACGTGGTGTTGGCCACTCATGCCCTGCTGTGCCATGCCAGCCTTGATAAGTGCCCGCTAACAGCACTTGCCCCAACAGTCTGTTAAGGCTATATGCGGGATCTTTGTGGAATTTTGCTGTGTTTCCTCAGCCAATGGGAAGGGTGCCGACAGAGTTCACGAATGGGGCTCGATGCCGTGTCCCCGTGGCGGCGCCACTGGGCTGATCCGATTCCCAAGTCGGCTCGGGAAGCGGGAGCAGGAAATTTCTGTCGAAAACCGAGTCGCACGCCTTTAGCTGGGACGACCTTGGAACCGCTCGCGATGTCACAGGATCAACGTGGTGGCAATGGGATGCACGTTCAGTGGTGTCCACCGCTCTGCTCGACTGCACGGCTGTGTTTTTTTGTTAGACACGTTGCGGGATGATTAAGAACAGTGCATCTCGGCCTTAAATGGTCTCGCTAGAGCGATACGGGTTGGATTTATACCGCGTCAAAAAGCGACCGCATCTCGGGGGGCCCTAGGCAGGCAGTCATTGGCCGAGGAAATAAGGGAAGGTCTTGAGCATGGACTCGAACAGTGGCGTCGCGATTCATCCCCTTACTCTGAGCCCATGGGGTCCTTTATTTTTTACAAGATCCCCGTAAAAGGCATGAACCGTAATACGGGGGGGGGGCAGGGTACAGAAGCTCGTACTCAGGTGCTACTGGGTTTTGGGAAGAGGGGACGGTTGGGCTCACTGCCCCACTCAGCTGGTAGAGACTGCGAGCGGGGACGAGGGGTTTTTATCTGGGGGCAAAAGTAGAGGGGATGTGGGGGGGGCCTTCATGAGCCGTACTGTGCAACATCTGTACCGCCGCAGGACGCCCATGAAATGGAGCCTAACAGCCCATTGTGCCCTCCCTGCGGAAATTAATAAATACAGTCTAAATCTAATGGCTCAGGGGTATGTGGGGACACGGACCCTTTCCATGCTGATAATCCCGCAACGGCAACTGGGCTGTTCCAGGCCCCCATGAGCCCACTTGAAGCTGGACATGGAAAAGTGTCAGCGGTCTCAAGTGCGTTGTGTGCTGGCGGTGGTGTAGCGGTTAGCGTGCTGCGCTACAAACCTCGTGACCCGGGTTCGCATTCCCGCCTCACGGCCAACATCAATGACGATTATCTGAACCTGTCCTGGGCCTATGTTGACTCAGCCTCAAATGAGTACCTGGTGTGATGTGTAAACATCGCCACTAGGGAGACAAAGGCGGCCGGGCGTGGTGTTGGCCACCCACCCCCTCGTGTGCCGTGCCGGCCTTTATAGGTGCTCGCTAACAGCACTTGCCCCTACAGTCTGTTAAGGCTATATGGGGGTTCTTTGTCTTTTTGTGTGTTGTCGTGTTCCAATGCGGTGCTTTGCAGGGTTGCTCACTGCCAATGTCCTTTGCAGACCTCTCTGGGTTGAATTTCCTTCGGATGAGGAGACTTTTGTTCTGGAGGATCAGTACATGATCGGTGAGATACGTCCACACGTTTAACACGTGACCATTTTTAACGATATATAATTTTTTTAAACGATAATGTTGTGGGATTGGTTGTGAGCGAGGTTTCATTTACAAAGCGATGTTTTAATGCGGAGTACGAAGATTTGTTGCCATATCGTGGTGGATTTGTAGTTGAGCTGAGGAGGTCTTGGCTGGAAAGTAATGTGGCCTCTGCTGACTTTACAACGTATCACTGACTACACGTGTATTCATTTATTTCTTACATCATACACATATAATGCACGCACTTTTACTTGAAATGCGCTGCTGATAATTTGGCGTAAAACCCCCAAGTTGGTTCCTTTCATAAATCTCCCTGCTGTTAAGAAAACACACGTCACGTTTTGAGATAAGGAGCAGGTAAAGCTCACCTCTTCTCCACTGTTCATTCTCTTCCTCTTCCCTTCTCTCCCCTACCTCTTTCCTAACCCCTTTTACCCCCCCCACCCCCATCGAAACTTTTCACTGTGTAACTGTGGTCATCCAGAACAGACCGTACAACGTAAAACGATCCACAAATACGAAGGAGACATCACCGCGATAACACTCCATTGCTCCTGACGCTGAGGTTGTCTGGCTGGACCACCTGCGTGTGAAATTGTAGTTATTGATCTGCGTCTACATCGGCCGTACGACAAAAAGGAAGATAAAATTCCCCATGGGAGTCACCCATTCTTCATTCGTTGCGCGCCCCTGCCATCTAAATCATGTATTTGTATATACCATGTTTTAAATTGTGTTCAGCTATGGTGGCGCGAACTACCTCACCTGGTATACAGGAGGTCGTTAGTACGATCTCGTCCCTGACACCTCTATATTTGGAGTTTGGATGTTCTCCCCGTGGTCATGTGGATTTTTCTCTGGATCCTCCGGCTTTTCCTTCCACGTTTATGACCGTGCATTTCGAGTTTTTGGCTGCTGTAATTTTCCACACGATAAGCCACTTTGTTGCGCTATCATTTTTGGCCAGGTTGCGTCTGAAAAAGAGCTATGTGGCTCAGTGGGCCTTACCTTGTAAAAAAAAAATATTTATATACGAAATTTGCTTCAACACTCGCCGGTGTCACTTTGAGTTCATGATTGCAGGGTCCATGCTTTCCCTGATGAACGTCCCCATTGGTTTGTAGGCAATGCCCTGTTGGCCCGGCCGGTGACTGAGGACAACGTGAATACGGTGCAAGTTTACCTCCCTGGGAGAAACGAGGTACTTTCCTGCCATCTTAACCTTCACACGGTCTCCCCTTGCGGAAGAGTCATTGTACCGCCCGCTGAAGTAAAATGTACCTGAATCAGTCGTTCCTTTGTCATTATCATATCGGAAACACGGTGGCAAAGATGAGCGGGATAAGCAACCCGAGATGGGCGTGTTTTAGAACCTTGGCCATGCACACGTTGCAGTTGTTGTGTACGTATAAGTCCACGTGCGTCTGTGCGCGGTGCGTGGGGAGTAGTAGTGCAGCGGTCAGAGTGCTGCGCTATGAATACATCGACACGAGTTCGATTCCCGCTCATGACCAACAACAAGTGACAATGATCTGAACTGGTCCTGGGCCTCCTCTAGGTTGAATCAGCCTCAAATGAGTACCTGGTGCGGTGTGTAAACATTTCCACAATGGAGACAAAGGCGTCCGGGCACGGTGCTGGTGACCCACCCCGTCTTGTGCCATGCCAGCCTTCATAGGTGCCCACTAATAGCACTTGCCCTAAAAAGTCAGGAAAGGCTATATGGGGGACCTGTGTCTTTGTCTATGCAATCCATTAGTGAGACGTGTTGCTATAATCATGAGTGACTCCACTGCATTACAGTCTTGACAACAAAGGTTAGATTCCAGACCATGCACTGCATTAGTAATTGGTATCTAAACATAGCCTTGGCCTCACCTAGGCAACCTTAGCCTTAAACAATTACCTGGTGCATCTGTGCACTCAACTTGAGTGCTGGGTAGGCAAAGGCAGTCATAGCGTGTTTGACTGATGAAGCAAGGGCTTTATCAGCCAAGCACGTTTTGCAGATGGATGGGCAACCATCATCTCTCTATGCGCACCTCCAATTAGCACGGTCGGTTACGTACGGTTTGAAAGAAATTCAACATACATACATATCCCTGTCCGTGTGTTCGCGTCCAGGCATGGTACGACATCCACAGCCACAAGCGCTACCCAGCTCCGGGCAAGATCGTGAAGCGTGTCAACATGTCCTCGGTGAGGGATCGCTGCTATGTTTAGACACCAGCTTCGTTGACGCATCGCTCCCCCAGCCGCGTCCGTAGTTGTCGTCCGTTTGCCGTGATGCGTGGACGATTAGTGGCATGCAATCCCCGCTCTCTCTCCCTCTTCACCTTGTCCAAACGAGAGTTGTCGCAAACACATTCCGGACATCGCTCGGCAGATTTTGCCTTGCGGCTTGCAGACAGCGGTGGGGTAGGTGGATTGTTCAGCTGTCCTGCCCTTTGAACTTTGGTGTCAGCCTTCCAGGTCAGGCCATCTCCCCCTCAGGAAACAAACTCACATTTTGGAGAGTGAATATTATTTTGCTGATTATTTGCTATATTGTTCGCACTAATTTGGTTTCTCAAGTAATACGCTGTAAGATATATAAACGTCTTCTAAATCAATTACAGCATGACCCTAATTGAAATAAAATCTCTGTGTTATCAAGGTGGAGCCAGAGTTACTCAGCTTAATTGAGCAAAGCTGTGGGGGTTATCTCTTTTTGCAGCCCTGAGCCAATTGTGGAAATTCCACATTCTCATGACAGGCCCTGTTTCACACAGGACGACTTATGCTGAAACAGTGCTGAACAAGTCATTGATTATAATTGAGTCTTATGGTCAATACAGCTACAAAAGGTCCCATATTGTAGCTGCTCATCCAAGCTATCAGTGCCCTGAGAGTGGCATTGTCTTTGTGCTGTTGGCGTCCTCTGGTCTGACACTGTTTGAGACGAGGCTCAAAAGAAAGCTGTCTCTGGTGTGGACCAATCAGTTTCAAAGATAATGCGTGTATAATATCAGAGCATGTTTCTTGTGTGCATGTTCACCATGAGAACGTGTGGTTAATGCAGACAGGATTCCTTGAAAAAGGTTTCTGTTTGGTGTTTTAATATTTTAACACAACTGTTTTATTTCCAGAAAGGGTAACACCTATTGTTATATTTTGATACCTGCAAGAAAGGTCCCGTATTGTCAATACACATTATGGCAAAAAAATATGATTCCCAATCCACAAACCTCCAAATTCGTGGAAATTGTGTGGCTGCTATTGATTCTGGCTTGGCAAGAGGGTATCCGCTAGTTTATTGAATCGTGACCACAAATGTAATTGTGGAGGAGGTGAATTAATTATTTTATGCCTCGTGTTTACGATGTGTCATTTCGTAATTGCATCCCTCATTCCAGAAATATTCATGGAATCTTAAAGATTTTGCATGAGGATTCTGCACTCGATATTTGGGCCGGTGTTTATTATTAGTTTTTTCACCACCGCCGTTTACGATGAACAGGGTCCCATTCTGGAGGGAGAACGCTCTGGCAAGAAGACTTGCCAACCGCGCAGTATTTGTTTAACAAAAACTCTGCTGATGGGACCCAAAAGGTCAAAATAAGTTGACAGTTGTCTTGCTGCATCAAATGCAGCTGGAAAACATGAGTTTGGAAGACTAATGGGTTCAACACGAATGTGTTATGTGGATTTAAAAAAAGAATAATGTTTATATTTTATCACTCAACATTTGTAAAGTTGGTAGGCATTCAAGCTCCCTGTATTTCTTGTTTTGCGTTTGTTCAGATCCCTCTGTACCAGCGAGCTGGAACCATCATCCCCCAAAAGCTCCACCTGCGGGACTCCACCGAGCTCATGAAGGACGACCCCTACACCCTGCTTGTCGCTGTGGACCCAGGGGTCAGTGCTCCCCCATCCAGCCTGGACGCTGCGGACTTGCATCACTAAACAACGCACGCGGCAGCTTCCATCGTGCTACGTCATGTTCAATGAAGATGCATCCCAGAAAAACAAACGAACCATGCTTGTCGTGTATGCATGTATCTATTTTGAACTTCTTTCGCAGCGTACATAGCCCGCCGTGCAGCGGTAAACCTAGATTGTGTATTGCAGCCTGTCTCGCTCGAGTTTGAGGCTTTGCTAGGAAACACAGGTGGGTTTTATTGTGAATTTCTCGTTGCGCTCTGTTGGCATCGCTGCAGTGGTGGTGCCGAGCTCTTGAATAGTAAAACATCGCTGTGAACTTGTCACTCATCGCAGCTGAAAATCACTTTAAAGTGTCAAAGCAGTGCAGACAGCCCAAGTTACGCAGCCCAGCTACTTATCTACCCGGAGTGAGCTCCTTGCATCGCCCGTCCTTCCTGAAGCATATCTAATTTGATCGTAATGGAGTGAGCTATTCAAATTCTTATAATATTGTCTCTACATTTTGGAAAGCTAAACATTGGCATCATTATTTTCGAGTCCAGTAAAGCCTCACAGAGGCTCAAGGGTAGGGGGCGATATTGCTATTTGTGACCAACGTAACTTTTCAACATTGGGATGTTCGGCCAACACCGGTTACATTATGTGGGTGGTTTTATTTGGCTATGGGAGGAAGCCGGTGGGCGAGGAGAAAAACCCATGCAGAACAGGGGGAGAAAGCTGCCCGTGTCTGGAATTGAACCTCGTATATCAAAGCACTCGTATATCAGTTGTGATCACGTGACGCTCGGCAGACAAAGCGTATACTGTATGTACTACAGTACTCGTATTGCAAGACCTCGCTCGTTTATCAAATTAATATTTAAATTAAAAAAATTGCTCGTCTTGCAAAACACTCGCAGACCAAGTTACTCGCAATCCAAGGTTTTACTGTATTGTGATCTGATGGCAATGTATGCATGCCTGTGATCCACCACTGTGGAGGCAAGGGTTTGTTGGGTTGCACAAATATTATGAAACGCTCATCTCCTGGGTGTCGAGGTGCTATGCCCTGGCTTCCCAGCAGAAGGCGGTACAGCAAACATGTGGCCCCCACCTGTTCCGTCTCTATGGGCTCGAGTGTTTGAGGACCGCAGAGCTTGGGACATAATAATTGGTGCTGGCTCATCGGGTGGCTGCTTGCCTTCTGAGTCATTCCGACTCGCTCGACGAGGGCGAGGAGTAAATACCGTACGGCGGCTGCGGCGAGCTACAAATTAAGCTAAAAACTCAACAGTTTTTTTTCCATGTAAGGCCCACTGAGCTATGAAACTCATACTCTTAGGTTTTTTCGGTAAAGTCACGTAGGTAAAAAATAAATAATAAAAATAAATAATAAAAAATAGTAGAAATAAAATAAAAAATCACGACGTTTCGGAGGCAACACAAGCTTCCGTAGCGTGATTTATTATTTTATTTCTATTATTTTTCTATTATTTCTTTTTACCTACGTGACTTTACCGAAAAAAAACCTAAGGGTATGAATCCTTGCAGTCACGAAAGCTTAAAATCTAGAACTATGAAGCTCTTTTTCTAGAAGCGACTTGGCCACAAATGATAGCTTAACGAAGTGGCTTATCACGTTGAAATGTATAGCAGCCGAATACTCTAAACACACGTTGATTCTAAATGTGGAGGGAAAACCCGCAGGACCCGGAGAAAAATCACTCCATATATATAGCGGGCGTCAGGCTCGGACTCGAACCCACGACCTCCTGCATACAGCGCGAGCCAGTTAGCAGTTCACCACCATTGGCATTATTGTGATGATGATGATGTTTTCGCTGATTGTTTCTCTGTGCGCAGGGCTGTGCTGAAGGAGAGCTGTTCGTAGACGACGGCCATTCGTTCCTCTACAAAACCCAACAGCGGTTCCTGCACCGCGGCTTCAGCTACAGCGACAGCACGCTCACCTGCAGGTGCGAGCCACGTGCCATGCTTTGCAGAAGCCTGCTGGCTATGCCCGTATTGAGTCGCCCGAGTCATCGAGTAAACTTTATTCTTACGGCTCATGAATCATGCGTGCGAGAATCGATTTGTTTTCGATTTAAATTACATCATGCGTGATTGCCTCATGTGACCGCTGCAGCGACGACAAGCCCTATACTCTGCACTGTCCGAATAGAAATAATTCTTCAGTTGAATCGTGTCCTCAGGATCTCTCGCTGTGAAGTCTGATCCACAACTATAAAGGCAATACATATTTCTGCCCTCCTTGAGGAAGGATTATTGTCCACAAGATCAGCCGATTATATATTTTTCAGTGTAAATGCCAATTGGAGTGGGGCAGTTGGGCGGGGTTTTTGCGCGCCGCGCTATAAACCCGCCGACATGGATTTCCACAGCTAACATCAGTGGCAAGTGATATATAAACCTGTCCTGCGACTCCCCCCCCCTTCACCAACCTGCACTACCCACCAGCGCGGTGAAGTGTGAACACACCGACCGCGTGATTGACAGGGCACAGCGGGGAGACCTTCGATTATCCAGCGGTAGATTGACGAACTGACGAATGGCTGTGAGTTGTGATGGCGTTTGTGGCGAGAGGTTTTGATTTGGTTTCAAGAGAGAATGCTGATGGTTGCGGTTGTTTCTCTTCCCCTGGCAAGGTCTCTGGACTCTGCGGGATCCATGGAGTCTCGCGTGCAGGTGGAGAAGGTTGTGGTCGTGGGTGTGCGTCGTCCCGCCCGCGTTCTGCGCTCGCTGCCAGGTGAGCTCAGGCGGATGACGGATTTGGTTGCGACAATTGTCCGTCTACTGGACACCTGTGAAAAAGAGCTTCATAGCTTGTGGGAATTCTCCGGGATAAACGAAGGTTCTGATTCTGAGCTGAGCGGTGAGCTTAAGCGATAATTAATGAGCGCAGCGTTTAAACGCTTTTACACGCGACAGTTTCGTTAGTTTAGCTATGTTGGGTGGTGGAGGATCTTAATGACAGAAATTAGTTCGAATGCACATATCAACTATAAATCGGAATGACACAATTGTGCACGATCTCACAACTGAATTGTATTGCAGGGAGCAATTTACTGTTTAGATTTTTTTTTATCTCTTTCATTAACTCTTTTATTTTATGTATACATTCACAGAAGCAGCAACCATGCTAGTTTCATTAAAACACTTTACACTCCACTTTTGATAATTATTATTTAATTTCCCCACAGGTAGCTGCCCAATTAACTTAATCATTCACGGTTTTTTTTATCCACTCATTCTACATAAAAAAATATTGATAATAATATACACTCCTCTGTCAATCCACGACTGGATAAAGGCCTTCCTATGCTGTGTCGGCCTTGAGGGTTGTTTCACCATACTTTACCACGCTGGTCAGTGCGATTTGGCAAAGGGAGGCCGAGAATGATGAATTCATATGTCAGATATCATTCCCCAGTGAGCTCGGCTTGCTAGGTTCATAGCGCGGGGCATCAACCACGACGCCACCACTCCACCCTGAGCAAACGCCCTCTCTACGTTCTTGACAATGACACTTTGTGGGATATCAAAGTTTTTTCCAGGAAAACCTCCTCCCCCTCCCGCTCCGCTAAATGTCCCCTCGTGTGCTTGTTGTGTGTAGGTGGCAAAAAGAAGGCACTCCATTTCGGGTACAATGCCAGCTCATCGGTGCTGGTTGTCAAGAATGTGGGCGTTCCCATCGCCTCCGACTGGAGCATTTCCCTCACCTTAAAACAGGGCCACAAGTCTTCCTGAGCCTGACCAACCAGCCTTGACCATTTCGATACAATCCTGCTGCGAGCCAAACCCAGTTGCATATCAATACACACACACACACACTCCTTCCTTTAGCTCATCATCTCTCACAGCAGCCGAGTTGCCAAATATACATTTTATGGGTCAGGGTGACAGTGCAGCATCGAAGGCGGAAACCAGTGATTGGCTGTGGGTCGGCAAATTCGATACAGCCACAGGTGTGGCTGAAATAGATCATTGCGTTCTCCCCTCGGTTGCGTACCCAAGGGGGCAGGCCACTGCCGCCACCTCCCTCCATCCCATCCCAATCCCACACCCTTCTCTTCAGCTCAGAGTGCCGTGCGCTCCGTGTTATTGCATCCTGACCAGGGAAGGGTTATTGAAGTGGGCCACTCTGGTGTCTCTCGCAGTGTTTGTTTAGGTGACGCCATCAAAAGGGTGCAGTTGAGCGTTACACCCAGGACTCTATTCCTGTATTGTCCGCGCCAATTGTCCGATATTTTTTTTTTCTGAGGGTCGACGGCAAAGAGCGAACGTGGATGTTAGTCAGTGGTGGCGGGTTTTAACGACACATTTATAGCATTTTTACGCGATCTAACCCCAAAAAACAACAGCTCTATTATGAACGTGGATGGTTTGCAAACCTGCAGGTTAAATCCTTCTAACTGGATTCGGAGTGTCCCTCCCTGTTCATTGCTCAAGAACTCTTGTGCGGAGTGCGGTGTTGTGATGTGGAAAGGGCGAAGTAGGATTGGATGGGCTAGTTGGAGCATGGGAACTGGAGAGAGAAAGAATGATCTCTGTTTACAGTTGTGCAATGCAATTTAATACTACAATATGGGTAACCCCCTCTATATACAGAACAGATATGCACCTTAAAAGTTGTCCGGAGAGCGAAATTCTGTATTCACATCCATATATTCCCATTGACTCCCCATGTATAATTGGAGGTACATGCCTACAGGAGAAAATGTCAGCCCCAAGACATGATAAAATAGAATGCAGTAGACCTTTTTAAAGTATATATTTTGTGGAAAATCGATCATTTTTAATTAAAATATCAATTACAATACACAAAATAAGCTAAATAAAAATACTGTACAATACATGAGATGAGGTTTTCCCTTTTTTCTGGCAACAAAACAGGTGTTAAGATGTTAAAACACCAAACTGAAACCTTTTACAAGGAATCATGTCTGCATTAACCACAATACTTGTGGTCAAAATGTAAACAAAAAACATACTCTGATATTCTATGCATTGTCTTTGAAACTGATTGGTCCACACCAGAGACAACTTTCTTTTGAGCATTTTGGCGTCCTCTGGTCTGACACCGTTTGTCAGGCAAAATAAGTTCAACATGCACACATACATAGGCATTGCAATTAGAGATTTCACAATATATCAATAAATACGCTTTGATACACTGGCAGTGTGATTCATGCAACAGTTGTGCGTTTCAGAATGGACTTTGTTGTTTGTGATTAGTTCATGGAAACCCTGCAGCCAGTGCAGATTGTAAATGCTGCACAAGGGTAAAACAAAAACAAGATTCAATCATCAAATCACGAATTGTGACGATCGATCGAATCTTACAGGGGTTAATCCTTACATCCTTGACAACCAGAAATTAACACATTAAACATAATATCACGGATGAACTTGGACATTAATGGAATTCTGTTTTAGGGTGTTTTAAACTCGTTTGAGCATGTTTTTGCCGATAATGGTGTGCACTGATTGTTACAAAAAGTTAATTCACTGCATGAGAGGCACGATCAGAATAGTTTGAGAATTGTATAAGGTTTGGTCATTCTTAAATGCAGCAGAAAGTGGGCCTGACATTCTCCTCTAGAATCGTCTGATTCAATGCAAAATCCATGGTTGTGTCAATGATGGCGACAGTGGATTGGTGAAGCCCCAAATATTTAGAATGTTTTTCGTAACCCTTTCCAGCCTAATGAGCATCAATAACTCTTTTTCTGAGATCTTCAGATTTATTTTGATTGTGGCGTCACTTGTTTCCACACACACCTGTATGGTGAAGATCAAACTCACAGTGTCTGATCTTTATACAGGGTGGGACCTCCCAAACTCATCGCTGAAGATCTACCTTATTATTGAAACACCTGATTCAAATGATTCCCTTAATTGAGCAAATGAAACCAGGGGTTCACTTTTTCACATACCCTGAACCGTAATTACTCTGTTTAATTCATACTTAATGTTGCTTCAAAAGACATGGAATTGTTTAATATGAGCCCTATTGGATATTTAATAAAAGACCGGCTTTAATTCAAGAAGGCTCTCATGGTAGAACTATGGAATTTCCATAATCATTGGGGTTCGCAAACTTTTTCTCGCCACTGTACCTCATTCTCAACAAACTGTTGACTGCCTCTTATGCATGTTCACAGGTTCAGTTTGTCTAATTACTCTTGGTTGCGTTGACTTGGTAGCAGTACTGCAATCACTAACTTCAAGGGAAAGTGATTGATTTTAGCATTTGCAAATGACTTCGGTGTGTTGGTGTTTACAAGGCGGCAGTTTCATATCGCCGCCGCTGCATGGCTGAACGATAGCTTCAGTTATCGCGGGACTTTAAACGTCTTCTGGAATTAAATAATGAAATAAATGCACAAATTCTGTGCCGCCACTCTGAGCCCCTTTCTCTGCGCGTTAATTGACTCGGCGTGTTGTGTCTCGAGGGGGGTTCGCTGTCGGCAGCTTCTAAAAGCCAAAAGGCGGACGGACGGACGGACAAACGCACGAGCCACCGAAAATAATCCTGGGGCACCGCGAGTTGAAGTAAGCTCTCGACCCCCCCCCCCCCCCCCGCTGTGTAAAATTAGCCCCTCTCTATATGGGGCGCCCACTCTGGGCCTCGCAGCCTTGGGCACAGCGCCACTTTTGATGGTTGGGGCCCGGCCCTTTACCGGCCAACGCCGTGGAGGATCGCGTCATCGTAACGTTCCTGGGATCGGCACACGGTGTGAGGACGGTGAGCGCCGGAGAGAGCTCAGGTGACGTGAGGAGCAGAGAGACGCGAGAGGGAGGGAGGGAGGGCGTTTCTTGAGACGAGAACTTCGCTGCCTTGTGCCACCGGGGAGTGGGTTTGAGCCAGGGGTGAAACCTCAGCGAGCTGAGGGGTATTTTTAAAGATCGGTATCTGCCTGCGCGACGTTCTACCTTGCAATGCTGCGGCCACTCTCAAAAGGTAATTGCACTTTTAAACGGGAAGTTTTTCGGAAATTTGTGTTCTTCTAAGTACATTTATGAGCACTTTAGTCATTGCCTGCAACGATTTGTGCTCTGAAGTTGGGATACTTTTTCTGGAAAAGTGTGTGCTGTTGTGTGCAATGGTTTTGTAATGTTGGTAAAGCAAAGCATTTTTTTAAGGCTCTGCATAGGTAGAGGTTTTTTTTGAGCGCTGAAATGAATAGCAACATTACTTTACAACAAAAGTAATGCTTAATTTGTGGATAATATTGGGAAATTTTCCTTGCAAACCTTGTGAAATTCATATTCTTGGGCCTTTCGGTAAAGTCACGGAGATAGGTTCAAATAAAATAATCAATTATTATTAGCTTCAAAGAAAACAATTATTATTTTCTTTGAACCTATCTACGTGACTTTACCGAAAGACCCAAGAATATGAATTCCTGCAGTCGCGAAAGCTTTAAGTCAAGACTTGTGAAATTCGTCTAAGCAATTTGCCAAGCACGAATAATGCAGGACCCTCCTGAAAAACTTTTTTAGGTTCAGTAACTTTTTTTGTAGAAATAAATAACGTGATTATTTGTAAGTCTGTGGGAAAAGGTATATTTATTATAGGTCATTGCAAGATCTCATTTTGAGTGGTGGAAATATTTCAGAATTTTCATGGAAACACCAGCAGCCCAGAGTCAAGACAAGATTACTGATGCAAATCATTCACAGCCCTTTGGCAATCCGCTGCTGGGCGAAGGCCTCCCAAAACCACGTCGGTCATGGGGCTGATTAGACCTCACCACACTGGCCAGTGTGGCCACACAGGACCAGTTCAGATGTCACTCGCCACTGATGTTATCCATGGCCAATAATTAGGTTGCCGGGCTCATAACACAGTGCGCTCACTCCTGTGCTAAAGCTTCCTCCTGGTGGAAATGTCAGACAGTACTATATATATAGCTCTCTCATGTGTTTATAGAAGTGCATGTTTTTATTTCTTTCATGGAGTGTTGGGCATTAACATTAGAAAATTATTGAAGTGTTGAATTTCAACCGATGGGTGCAAATGGGATTAGGATGCTCGCATAGCCACAACAGATGTTCACCTTTGTATTCATCTTTAAAAAGTCTTCGTGTTGATGCCTCGCAGGGTGAATACCGTGCAGCACAAGGCAACAGAGTACGGTGAAGTCGAACGCGTACACATTTTTAAAACGGCACCGCGACAAACCCAGAGATGCCGTACATTTTCAACACGCGGGTTCTGCCTCAGCCGAGGCCCGCTCCGAGCCCGACGCCCGGCCACCCGTTCATGCACGGCTCCTCGGGGAACTACCGCAACACCGCCATCAGCAACCGCAACGCGTACCTCATCGACACGCAGGGCAAGGGCTTCGAGGAGCTGCGCAACTTGTGCCTGAGCCACGATGTGCTCTTCGAGGACCCAGACTTCCCCGCCCACAACAACTCCATCTACTTCAGCCAGAACGCACCGATGCAGTTCCAGTGGATGCGTCCCAAGGTGAAGCAAGCGCCCTCCGGAGTGGCGCCATTTATTATTTTTCCTTCCTGCAAATTTGTGGAAAGGTCGCGCGTTGAGGGCGTCTGTCTCTCTCTCTCTCTCGTGTGTGTGTGTCGGCAGAAATTGCTTTTCTCTTGCCGGCCTTGCGGTGGAACGATTGGGGAGTTCTTGGGATGCAGTGACGGTTCGTTTATTTACAACTAATTAAGGTGTCCTTGCAGTTTGTGCTGTATGGAGCTGGCTGATGTGTACAACCCTGAAAACACATCGGACTTCGGTTAGATGTCTGTCAAATGTCGGCAGCTATTTGCCTTTCTGTTAACAAGGGAAGCAGGTCCCGTGATGTTGAAACACTGAATGAGAACACAATCCATCCCGAGAAACGCTTCATTACACAATGTGATTTGTGAACTGCGCGGAAATCGTTTTGCTCATGAACCTTCCATGAAATGTAGATCCAAAGCCACTTGTAAGGAAAACCGCATAAAGCAATGATGTTGTGATGCATTCCTAACCTTAGCAAGTCCAATGCCAAGTGTGACTCATTCTCAACACTCAAGACCAATCCATCTGTCTATGGGTGTCCAGAGACAATCATGGGACTGCAGTGATTTATGGACCGGATGTCACAACTTGATCTACCCTTTTGTTTCCTTTTTCTTGAAGCTGGTGAGCAACCATTGTGAGTCCCTTTCTCTTGTACAAGACAGACCCTGTGTCATATAGGGGTCAGTTATTTATAATGCACATCCTTATATAAATAAACAATAATAGGTGTACACTGCTTTGTCAGTCCACTTCTGGTTGAAGGCCTCCACGCTCCCTGTCAAGTAGACGAATTGTTTGGCCCGAACTCACCACGCTGGTCAGTGTCGGATGGTGAAGGGGGGGGGGGGGATGTGCAGGGGGGTACCCAGAACCGATTCAGATATGGCTCGCCACTGATGAGAGTGGAGTCCGAACCAATCACCTCGCCACCACTGCACTGATCCAAAACAATGCACTGTACATAAAATATCTTCATAATGTTTAAAAGTTAGATTTTTCACCGTTAGCACCGAGAAGCACAACCTACTCTGCCTAGCGTGGCGATGCACAGTCAAACAAGACGTCGTGATGACTGACACGGCATTCAGACGAGGGCTTCATCCTGGAGTGGATTGGCAAATAATCAAATCATTTATTCCTGGAAATTGTTATTTACGAGTAATTAACCCTCGTCGTCACTGTTTGGCGCAAGACGCCGCGTGCCAGTAAATTGCTGTAATTATTTACGAGTCATTATAAATAATGACGACGACGACGACGAGGAGGAGGAGGGTCGTGTTTGCTGAAGTCGTCTGTTACATTCCGCAATGGGGCTCTCTGCCCGCCGGCATTGTGACTTCACACTTGGGGCGTTGTGAGATAGGTTTGTGTGTGAGAGAGAGAGAGGTGCTCGCGGCGGGCATGGGAGGGCACACCGGCAGACCGCTGTCTAACCCGAGCCTTCGCCTGCACGCACGTGACAGGGCCCTGTTATTCATTTGGCATTGGAGCAATAAAAACACACACACCATTGACGTGCCTAAGCCATGTCAATGCAACTTCAGCAGAGTGAGCCAGGAGATGTGACAGTGATCGCGGGACGTATTGTGCCTTTTGTGTGTTTTGAAAATCGCGCTGTCTGTGGATTTAGCCGTATAGTCTATGGGCATTTTGTGGCCGAAGGCTATATCTGCTTCCTGGCGACCGTCATAATCCTTTACCCCGCTTATGGTACAATGCTCGTTGGGGAGTGAGGAGACAACGCATGCACGCGCACCAAGTCGCGTTCTGTGAAACTGTCAACTCTGCAGAAAGTGTTTACTATTCGCATGTTCAGGACATTCGGTTAGCGGTGAGCGTGACCATTGAGGGTGTTTGTGAATCCTAGAAGTGATGCGTCGATGCGTGCGGTGTTTCCCATTGAGGCGGAATTTTATGGGTAAAATGTTGGGCCGGCGAAAGACGGCATTCGTGAGAAGCTTGATGTTTTTAACGTGCGGTATGCAATTAGGTTGACCGCACATATCCGTAGAATATTTTTTCGTTGGGATTGTATTGAACACTGCATCGATAATTTTAAGTGTGTACAGGGGCGTTACATGCTAATTATATCATGATAATCTTAGGTTTTTTCGGTAAAGTCACGTCGGTAAAAAATAATAATAGAGATAATAATAAAAATAAGAGCTTTATTTTTTTTCTATTATTATCTATATTATTTATTCTTATTATTTTTACCTACGTGACTTTACCGAAAAAACCTAAGAGTATGAATCCTTGCAGTCACGAAAGCTTCAAATCTAGAATTATATCATGATAATATTATTTGATCTCATGATAACAATGTGTCAGCGGTACGTAAGCAAACATCGTCAACTTTTTGTACAATGACACCGTGTATCATTGTACAAATATAAACAATGCACAACTTAAAAGTACTCAGCGTTATTTTCTGAAAACACCCCCGTTGACGATGAGCAGTAACGGTGGCAAATGGATGTCAGTCACCTTCAGGTCCATCCTGCAACTTTGACCGGCCAATCACAGTGAGCCATTCCCAGCATGATGGTTTAGAGGATTACTGTGTGGTCTGTGGCTTTTGGTGTCAAAATAAAAGCGGGCTCTTTTTTTCGACTCGCGCTTTTTCACGACCAAATCGTTCCTTGTTGGCCCTACGTCCAGCACGATTGCTGGACGATGCCAAAAGAAACGGTCAAGGATCAGTCAACCTCAGTTCAAGTTAAAGTAATTGTACTTTAATTCACATTTTTTTAAAAGTTAGATTGAGTTAAAAAAGGAGAATAAAAGTAAGCAAACGCAAAGTTAAGTTCGCGGCAAACTACGACAACACAGCAGCAGCAGCAGCGGGAGGAGCGATCATGCCACCAAAAAGGGAATTTATGTCCTGGATTTGCGATAGAATTTTGCGCTACAAAGCGTTGCGCGGAGGCATTGGCAGCGTGAACCAACCCGTGACCTTCGTGGGGCAGAGCTACATTGCGCTGAGAACCGAGCGCCTCTCGGAGGGCAGCCTGTTTTGCGACGATTATTTCCCAGCCAACGCCGAATCCCTGGGTCGGCGGTGCAGCAAAGCCAAGGGTATTCGCTGGAAGAGACCCAAGGTAGATTTGAACCACCTTTTCGTTGTCTTAATGTTGGCAGCGGTTGCGAGAACCGCAAGCTTTTAGTGTTAAACACTGACACTAAGGTGTTAATGAAATAATTGTAATATTTCGATTTAAAGCTTCCGTGACTGCAGGGAATCATCTTCTTGGTTCTTTCGGTAAAGTCACGTAGAATGGAAATAATAAAATGATGTTTTATTTTTATTATTTTATTATTTCCATTCTATGTGACTTTACCAAAATAACCAAGAAGATGAATTGTAATATTGTTTGTAGAGTGTGGTATGTGTGTGTGAGAGTATATAGATATATATTAAGGATGCCCTGTTCTCACAAGCATTGGTAAAATAAAACTGAGTATATGTTATTAAATATTGGAAAACTATATTTTCACAACTTCATCGTGATAACTTATATTCAGCGTACTTGGTCAATCAAAATAATTCCATAATCTCAAACACGACACAATGTGTATCCGTTTAGTGTCTAAATACAATTCACATATAGGCCTTACAATACATCGGTGCAATACTTAGTCTTATTTTACGATTATGTTTCTGGATATGTGTTATTTTTATTCACAGCTATATATACATAATGATTAACCTGGTGAAACATTCAGGCTGAAGATGAAGTTTGTATACAGCGTGTGTGTGTTTGCGCATCCCGATGGGATAGAAGCGATGCGCTGCAGTGGTTGAGTGTTGGGTCGGGCGAAATACTCTTCATATGTCTCCTGATTCAAAGGTGGAAATTCCACATTGTTGTGGCAGGGATTCAGCACATTCATGTACGTACTTGCCAATCCTCTAGAGTTATGCAGAAAGCTGCTGATGTTTTAAAGCTTGTTGATTTTAGACCCATATACACGAGCTTGATAAGGTTTTTTGAAGAATACATTTTTGCGGACTTTTTGCTGTGAAAAATTACGTGCGGCAAAAACAATCTGCTGCCTGTCATGTGAATTGGAAGGGTTGGCTAACACACTTATTTACTCAGTACGTTGGGGGTGCGGCGGTGGCCCAACGGCTTGCACACTTTGCGACGAACCAGGCCAACCTGAGTTCGCATCCCAACCATGGCTAAAATCAGCGTGGTAAACTGTGGTCAAACAAACACCGTGGCGTGGGGAGGCTTTCCTCCAGCCGTGCGTTGTTGTCCTTCCCCCCGCACCTCCGATTAGCACGGTTGGCTACGTACGGTGCGAAAGAAGTTCAACGTACATTGACAATGGTTTGGAAACGATACATTGTTTTTAACTGTACTGCATTGTCAACACAGCCGTGTGCTTTGGGGCTGTTCTCTTCATAAACTCATCGCTCATTATATGTCTTTCTTTGCACAGGACATTTGCGAAAACCCGCAATTCATCATTAATGGGGCGACGCGCACAGATATACGGCAGGGAGACCTTGGTGAGCCCTGTGTGTCTGCACGCGTGTCACTGTTTTCTATACTGTCACACAACATGCATGGAAACTTGTAATATTCTGATTCTGGTGGAAACTCACAAACAGTCACAGTAGCGTCCGGTCAAACGGGCAAGGTCTGATGCTCGTCTCCAATTTGCATTGCTTAACTAGTTGTGGACATTCCACGTTTATATGGCAGGGGTAAGTGGCTCCATAGGACAATCACTGTTGGAAACTTCACATGCATTTAAGCCCAGTGTATTTACACCGCAGCTACAGCGAGTGTGTATTCCTGTTTTTGTTTCTAAAAGTTGAAGTTGTAGATCGCAAAACTGTGCTTGTTTTGCACGGAATTATTGTTTTGTAAATGAATGTAATGGAGTGAGATTTGTTTTATGTCAGCAGGAAGTGCTCAATAAGCTGTTTGGCTCTATTCCATGGACATCTTGCAATTGTATAGATGATACACAGTACAGATGTTAGTAACAATCATGGTTACAAAGGTCGCGATACAAGCGACAAGTATCTGCACATGCTTTACACATCACAAGAGTAAGGAATTGTACTCGTTGGTTCTTTCGATAAAATCACGTAGGTAGAAAATAAACTAAATTAAATCACGACGTTTCGATTGCAACACAAGCAATCATCATCAGGTGGAAAAAAATATGTGGTTTTCCCACCTGATGATGATTGCTTGTGTTGCAATCGAAACGTCGTGATGTATTTAATTTTATTTTATACCTACGTGATTTTACCGAAAGAACCAACGAGTTTGGATCCCTGCAGTCACGAAAACTTCAAATCTAGTAAGGAACTGGTCGAAAACTTAAAAAAGTACATGAACATGACCACATTCGTTAACGAACAACAATAAAAGGAGGAAGATGTTTTGTTTTATTTAACAAAGCAAACACAATCAGTAACTGACGACTCTACGCACGACGCAGACAGACTCGGACTTATGCTTCTCGTTCGATTATTTATGACATCGATACATCCGTGAAGGAACTTGAGATGCAGGGGTGAACGGAGGTTTCTGACGGCCGGCAACGATGGTGTGATGTTGTTTCCCTCGCCTGGTATGCAGGAGGTTGGGAGTTCGATCCCAAACCCTGACGCCTGCTGCTGCTGTATATTTGGAGTTTGCATGTTCTCTCCGTGGTCACGTGAATTTTTTTTTCAGGTTATCTGGTTTTCCCTCCACATTTAGAAACATGCATTTAGATTATTTAGCTGCTATAGATTTCCATGTGATAAGCCACTTTGCTGAACTATCATTTGTGACCAAGTCGCTTCTGAAAAATAAGCTAATAGCTCAGTGGGCTTCATGTGGTAAGATAAACATAATTTTGTTTGATTTGTATATTTTTAAGTGCTTTGTTTACATTTCCTATACTCTGCACTCCGCTCGTGTTTTGGTATGTTTGTCGTTGTAACCTTATTACCCACCCCCACTGGACATCTGTGAGAAACAGCTTCATAGCTCGTAAGATTTCTCCAGGATGAATACATATCCTCGTTTAGATTGAATTTCCCAAACCTCACGCGACGATAGCGATTCCACAACGAGGGAACGGCCATCGAGAAAGCCTTTCTTTCCGAGGTAGTACGAGGAGCTTCTAAGGCTTAATTTGTCTTCTATTTGGGGTCAACAGATCCATCAACTAATAGGGGGAGGCAGCGATGGGCGGTGGAGACAAAGCCACGTGGCCGCCCTGATTATTATAACTGCGGGTGTAATAACCTTGGTGGTAGTAGCAGCAGTAGTAACCATTCTCGTGCCGTCTGCTTCACAGTGGATGTTAAAGATCTCCTGACGGCATTCGCAAGGGTATTGTGTGCCAGTGTTAGGGTTCAAATTTGGCCAATCCCAAAATTACCTGTAAATAACACTATGTTTGGATTACGCACAGCAATCATCACTGGCAGAATAATGGTCCGGGGCAATCTTGCAAACGAGACTATTTTGGTTTCTTGCTTCCTCTCGAGTTTAATTCCAGGCCACTACTGGACGTCTGTGAAAAAGGGCTTTGTAGCTCATTGGATTCCTCCAGTCAAAATAAATATTCTGATTCTGATTGTGAACATCAGTGGTGAGTGATACCCGAACTGTTCCCGGGCACCCCATCGCTAAACAAATTGTAATTCATGGGCCTACGTTACGGCTCTATAATTTACGTGCTCGTGAGAATGATAAATAAGAAATGTCTTGTCAACGTATGATGTATAGGGTACAGGTAATGAACATGATTGTTTTACAATGCTTTATTCCACTACATTCACAAGCTCGTCATCAACAAGCTCAAGACTGTCTGTCATATATTACTAAATAGCTTTGACTTTATTTATTTCTTTGAAACATACTGGATATGAAACTGATAGCAAATCACGAGTTTGCAATCCTGTCGGTTATCTGTAAGTCATTCTAGGCGCTGCAAAACCTCCAGCTGACCTCGTAAGGTGCAAAATAATTGTTTCTCGAGACACACAAGCTTATTATTATTTGCTGTAACCGAGCATGTACAGATTAAAGTACATATATATTTTGTTCTCTTTAAGAACATCTACCTTGACTGAAAATACATCAAAGGGCGATACTAAATGACCTTGGATTTGTGAAAAGAACCCTTGTTAATCTGAGTCACGAATGCTTCTCTGCTGTTTGTTTTACCTCTGCTTCAGCAACAAATTAAACGTGGCGTCAACGTTTTGCTTTTCACACATCCTTGCTGACGGAGAAGCCAGTGAATAGGACGAGGGTGTCTGGTGGGGCTGTCATGAGTGACTAGGCATTGATGAGTGACACAAAAATGACCTTTTGAACTCTGCGCTTTGTTAGCATTTGCGGACTGCCCGTCGCGATTACAAGACTTCAGTGTGCACAGCACTGAGCATGAAAACCCGAGTGCGTTTAAATTACTGTTGCACGCCGTTCCCATTAAGGGGACCGTTGGCAAAATAAAAATAAATCCCGTGCTGCCTCAGCAGCAAGGCAATGCACAGCCGAATGAACAACCTTCTGCGACACCATTGGAACCTCATTTGCCAGTTAAACATATGATAATTGTTTTTTTACCCTTTTATCTGGCAACAAAACTGACACCTTTTTTTACAAGGAGTCATGTTTGCATATACCACAATACCTGCAGTCATAATGCAAACGAAAAACATAACTCTGATAATGTATGCACTGTCCTTGAAATTGATTGGTCCACACCCGAGACAGCTTTCCTTAGAGCCTAGTCTCACTGGTGTTGGACCAGATGACGCCAAAAGGCGCACAACTCAAAGACAATGTACCATCAGAGTATGAGCGAGTGACACATTCAGGTACCCCACATCTCATTGCTGCTGAACTCCTGTCTTCAAAAATGCCACTGAATAGCCAGTGAATCACAATGCATACCAAGCTACTTGCCACAACGGCGTCTTTTTTGGGGGGGTTTAGTGGGAATGTAACTTTTGCACGATCCAATGTGTCAATCGTAAATAGATCCCGACGATCGTGAAACGTGCATCGAATTGTGCGTGCCAGGATCGATTGTAATTGAAGCAAGTCATACACATATATACAGTGTTTTGCCCAATTAAAGAAACGTGTTCACCCTCATCTATTACGACTTCAATAGTGCTGTTTGTTGCTTGCCACTTGGGCGTTTTGAGACCTTTGCGGTTGGTCTGTGATCAGTAACTGCGATATAAAAAAGGAAACAAAACAAATTCATCCCATCGTTGGGCGAGTTAATTGTCATATGCCTCGTATTTAGGTAGGTATTTAAGTTAGGTAGGCATACAGGTAGGTAGGTAATTGTGCAGGTGTGCATTGAGGGAGGTACGAGTGGTGGGTAGGTAGATATTTAGATAGGTAAATGGGTATGTAGGTGTTAGATCAGTAGGTGGATGGGTAGGTAGGCATTTAGATAGGCAGGTTAGTGGGTTGGTAGCCATCAATCAAAGATGGTTACCGCATCACGGGCTTTCAGGCGTGCTTCTGCAGATATCTGGAACGCATTTCCTTCGATATTAGGAAGTGACTGGAGCTATGCACTCTTAAATCTCGATAAAAAATTCTATTTCTTTAGAACTGCTTTTTGTGTTTAGTGTGGTGCCACTCAGCGCTGCCAGGCAGCGCTCACCGAGCCCCGCTAGGGCCGGTACTGCACCCACACCACGTGGTGTCCGTGGTGTCGCCACACCGCACGCCGTGGTACCCTCTGGGGCCGGCATCACACAGTGACATCCCGCGATGACACTGCACATGTGTAGGTAGTTATTTAGGTGGGTAGATAGGCTGGTGTTTAGGTGGGTGGCTGGGTAGATAGATCTCCCAACGCAGCAGGAATTACAAAGAACAGCGAGTAAGCACAATCCAGTGGAGAATGTATGTAGTGCAGTACGCCACGCAAGATGAAGAATTGTATGAATGAATGCCATGTCGGTTGCATGACACCCCCGACGTGAGACTGTAACATAAACCAGGCATGGAATGTGCAGACTCGGCATAGCGATGCGGCAGTGTGGACCCATTTAGTCCTTTCCTGCTCCCGTGCGTCTCCCCGCTCGTGAACAGCGCAGACAACGATCCCCCGCGTAGCGCCTTGATGAGGCCGCTGGAACAAGCGTTGTGAGTGAGCACCCACGAGTGGAGTGGGTGGCCAGTCAGACGTCTTTGTCTCTCCACGGTGCTGTACTCATTTAAGGCTGAGTCGACCCAGGGGAGGCCCAGGACTGGTTCGAATATTCGCCACTGTTTTTTTTGTCGTGAGCGGGAATTGAACTGCTTCTACAGCAGCAGTCCGACATTCACCTACATTTTCAGTCTCATTAAGGTCACTGCAACGATTCTCACAACGTGGTCATAAATCATCCACCACGGCGCTCTGCAATGGAAACTATTATTTATTTATAGGCAACGGTGGTAAAGATGCAGCCCTGCATTTACTTGCTCATGCCACTGCTGATGAAATGGCCCTTCACTGAAGGGAGCTCAAGTGGGTATT